TTGTGTTCTGGGAAGGGCAGACTTCCCAACAGTACTTCTTGCCCCCTGCTGCTTACAGAATGTTTTCCGTGCACAGAAAGGTCTGTGTGTGATGTTCAGGCTTGTTCTCATGCATTCACTGCCTGAAGAGACAGCCGGCTGGGGTGTGAGCGCAGAGCGGTCCTAGATAATCCCTTCATTAAAAAGCACTATGGAGCCGGCAGTAGGTTGCTTAAGTGTACACACACTCTGTTTTATGGGGGGGACACTTTTAGAAACATGAGGGGGTCTGCTAGAAGGAGGGATGCTGGCATTCACTAACGGGGCAGCAGGTATGTGAGAGGAGGGAGGGCACTCCCCCCCCCCTTCCTTGGGCCCAAGCAGTTTAATAGCACAGCAGGGAGCTCTACCCACTCAGCCCCCGGTGATTTGGCTCTTCCTATTTTGGTGGTTCTGCTGTTGCTGATTTGATTCCATTAGTCATTGTGTAAACCAGGAGTCCTGCTGTCACCAGAAAGCAACAGCTCTGTTACCTGCTGATCAGAAGGGAAAGCAGTGCTACGGATCTCAGTGCTCCACTCTCCCCCGGGGCCCCAGTGCTCCCCGCTCCAGCTGTTAATTCATTAGCCCAAGGAAGGAGGGTGGGGCGCTCATGGCACCGATGGCGACTGAGGTGTTCCTGGGCGCAGCCGCCGCCTCTCCCCTCGTTCCTCGCAGGATAAGAAAGCCAGTGCACCACGAGAGTGAGGGGGAGAGGCTGTCTCCATGGAGATGGTGCACATATCTGTACCAGCACCACTTGCTGTTACTTAATCGAGTGAGAACCGTTCGCCTGGGGGCTGCTCTAGCGGTGTAACTGAGACCTGGCAAACTGGAGTCCCGGGGATGGGTTAATAACATCCTTCGTCCTCCGCTCCACGGTGCGATGAAGACGATAGAGATTTCTTGGGCTAGCGGGTCTCCCAGCCAGCTGGAGCACTCCGCTGCATGCTTTGCTCTTAAGGAAAGAGGGAGGAGAGCAGGACTTGCCTCGCAGGGGTTTGGCTGTGCCCTTAGATGAGCGTCCTAAGCATGGCTCAAAGCTCAGCAGCAAGGCTGGGATCTTTCATTGGAAGTTATGTTTGCAGTTGCCTTTTCCAACCAGATTGGCTCCCAAAGCATCACACAGCACAAAATGGTTAGGGTGGTGGTGGTGGGAACTCTGCAAGTGAGCTGACTTGGGGGGGGGGCAAATGGAAAAGATGCCAACTGGCATCAGATAGCTCTTCCATTGATCTGCAGACTCTTCTGGCGCCAGCCTGTTTGAGCCTTTGTGACCCTCTTCCTCTTCCTCCTCCTCCGAAAGATGCGGCAAAGGCTCATTCCCATACAAGTTGGGCCTGAATAAGGACTGCCTGTGGCCCTCCGGGTTCCATCCTCTCCATTCCGAGCACTGATTGGAATGCCTGAGCCAGGGGTCTCCAGTTGGTAGCTGGTAGCTTGTGAGCCCCTGTTAGCAGCCAGCTGCTGTGGAGTAACTCATACATTCCCCTAGAAGACCCAGGAAAAGATCTCCTCTAAGCTTTGGGTTTTTTTTGGGGGGGGGTTACACTTTCTAGGATTTTTCTCTGCCAATAACTTCATTTCTGATGCTCTTCCTAGTCCTACTACTAGGACAGAACAAAATTTGGCAACATGTGGGGTGGGGTGGGGTAGAGTAGCCTGGAATATGGTTCATTAGTCTGAGAATGACTACAGTTCTATCCTAAAGGGTGTGTATGTGTGAAGGGGCCCCCCAAAAGCCATCTGGATCAAAATAAACTTCAGAGCCAGTTTTCTTTTTTAAAGGGCAGAATTACCTCTTAAATAGCCATGGACAACAGCTGAATGAACTACTCAAGTTGGAAATTAAAATGGGTACAAGAACTGGTGGTGAATTGTGTTCATCTGCCTTGGAAGACCTTGTCTGCCTGATTTAACGATCGTTTCAGCCAAGGCCATCTTATTTGCCAAACATTGAGCTGGTAATGGACTTTATTTTTCTTTTTGAGCAAAGCGCCTTGCAGATGGGAGCAGCCACCCAGCAGGCAGCCGGTCTCACATAAGGATTGCAGGGCAAGGGTAGCGTTGATGGAAAAGCTGGGATTTGGAGCTTCCGTATGGAGCTTACTCCATCAGCTCTTGTTGCCATGGTGATCTGTGAAAGGGACACTAGCAGCCAGGGCAGCAGTGCAGACTAGTGGGCTGTGCACAAAACGTTTGGCACCCTCCAGCTATAAATCCTCTTCTTCCTAAGTGGCTGATAAGTGACCTTGAGGGGAAGGCGCACAACCCTTTGGGCACCCCTGTATAACATGGGGATAATAATAGCCACGTTGTGGGGGCGTTGGGAGGATTAGCCAGCATTTGTGAAAATCCCATCAATGCTTGACTGCCCATGAAATGGTTCCAAGGAAGAAAGTGTTAATCTAGGCTGGCCCGGCCTCTGTCTGTGTGAACTTCCTCCTTCTCCCCCTCCCCTGTAAAAGCAGCTTGTTGCACTGTTACAGCAAGAGAGCAGGAACTGCCCCCCCCCGAAAGGTCAGAGTTCATGACTCACTCCTGCTACCTCCTCTGCACTGTTCCTGACGGCTGTGTAGGCTGGGGGGGGGGGGGGGTTTGTCACTGCCTGATCACAACCAACCCAGCCAACTGATCCCTTCCGATATGGAGAGGCAAGCCTGGCACCTGTGCTCCACCTGGGGTCTTCCTCCTCCTCCAGCTTGGGGAGGAGGAGGAGGAAACTACAGTCATGCACAAGGGTTCTGCATCAGCTCCTCCGGCTTTTCCTTAAACCTTGCTGGATGTCTCCTCGCTGGTAGGTGCATTTCAGCAGTTGTTTTGTTTTCATAGGAGAGGAGTCTCATTCTAGCTTGCTTGGGTAACCATACTTGGACCGACTTTGCAACCCAATGATTTACTTTCCGACTAACTGGAAAGTTGCAACTTGGTTCTTAGACTCACAATTTCCATACCTTGCTAAGGCAGCTGGTGGTACAAGTTAGTAATAGTTTGAAGGCAGTTTGGCTCTCGAATGTGTCCTTCTTACTGTTCAGCTGCCCTAGGGCATTATAGGCTCCATTTCCCATGGCACAGCGCACACGCACAGCCATTACATTTTATGTCAACTGCACTTTGCACCTAATTGGCAAACAGGTGGTTCTGATCCCAGGAAAGTTCACTTTTGCCAGAGGGTAAACCCTTGCTGAGTCTTCAGGAGCTGACACGCTTCTTTAAGACCAGGCTAAAGCTGAATATTTTCTGGAAAGCGCAATTTGAAATGAGTGCTCCGGTCCCTTTGACCGTGTGGCAATCTTAATATTGCCCACTCCAGAAAAAGGGGCAGGCCTAAGGGTTGTTGCTCAGTTCACAAGGCTTCCTTCTTATGACCAAAGCCTGAGACCTGCTGGCTTCTGGAAGTGATGTGGCACAGGCTTTCCCTTCCCTGGAAACTCCATAGCCTTTCCTCTCTCCCTGCTTCCTTCTTCCCTTCCCACCTACCAGCCAATCTACCTTTACCCCCACCCCACCCCCATCTCCTCCTCCTTCCCTCCTCCAGATGTGTAGCGCTGGCTGCTGGGCTGGATCCAGTTGTATGGTGTGGGAAAGACTTCCAGGGGGGGAACCTGGCCCCACTGCTGGCCCTCCTGATGGCACCTGGTATTTTTGGCCACTGGTGGACTGGATGGCCCATTGGCCTGATCCAACATTGGTTTCTCTTACGTCCTTATGTAACCTCACTCTTCCCCACACACTATTCTTTCCCTGCTCCTGGCAGCCTTTCCCTGCTTCCTTCCCTCCCGACCAACCTTTCCTCTGCCTCCCTCAGCTTCAGCTATTTTATTATTTATTCATACCCTGCCTGCCTCCACAATGAGGCTGACATCCTTTTCCTCGCCTCTATTTTATCCTCTCAACCACCCTGTGAGGCACCGTGCAGGTGGGGCAGCCGTGTTGGTCTGAAGCAGCGGAACAAAGTTTTGAGTCCAGCGGCACCTTTCAGACCAACCAGAGTTCTATTCGGAGTATGAGCTTTTGTGTGCATGCTCAGGAAAGCTTATACCCAAACTAAAACTCTGTTGGTCTGAAAGGTGCCACTGGACTCAAAACTTTGTCCCTGTGAGGCACGGTAAGCTAAGGCCGTGTCGTGGCTGAAGGTCACCCAGTGAGCTTCCAAGGCAGAGTGGGGACTTGAACCTTTGGGGTCTCCAAAAGCCCCGTCTGAAACTCTGACCCCACAAAAAAAAAAACCTGTGCCACGGGATAGAGGGATGCAGCGAACAAGGGAGAGCGAAATAAAATCACTTCTCTGTCCCACTGTGGAACAGAGAAGAGGAGGCAGGACTACTGGATCCCGGGGGGGGGGGTGCCTTCCATCAGCACCTTCCACGACCTTTTTGGTAAGTCTGGCCCACTGAGTGAAAGGTGAGCAAAGGCAGGACTTCTAAAACTGCATAAATATAGAAGCCTAGATCGAATGTGACGGCCCATCTAAAAAGGGTGGTTTGTTTAGTCTCCTGAAAACCAGAAGTGTCTAGCCCTCAATGTTTGAAAAAAACCAAAACACATACGTGCTGCCTACAGCATATTCCATTACTGAACAAATATATGGGTCCTGTCTTTTCCCATAGCATCTAGTGTCTACTTTATTTTTGTCAAAGCCTGCTTGCTGTACCACAATGCAAGCATAAATGCTTATCCCTGGTTAACACTACTGCATCTAGCTAATACTTTTTCCCTTAAAAGTGACTATGTAACAGCACTGAACCCTTGTACTGAACCACAAACTCCCCCCCCCCCCCCGAATTGCCATCTAACTCTAAAGGTATTAAAAATCTGCTTTTAAAAATTACTTCAAAAGATTCAAGTATTTGAGGTGGTTCTGAGGTGTGGGGGGGGGTTAAGAGAGGGAAGAGGAGCCTCTTGTTTTATTTATTCCCCCAGGGGGAAGACGGATAGGATTCTGTGATGGAGTGGAAATGACTCCTGCACTTTTCCCTTAGGTTGTGTATTACACTGAAATGTACAAAATCTTTGGAGACTTGACAGAACAGATTGATGAGCCTGGCCTGACTGACGAAGAGCGGGAGAAGGAGAACGAAGCCAAGCTGAACGAGCTGAGGGCCCTCTCGATTGTGGCTGATGACTGACCTCCAACTGATACAGCCTTGAAGGTGGCTCATGCCCAGGCAGACTGGCAACCCCGCTGTTGCAGCTCCACGGAAAGGTTCACTTCCTGCTCTCCAAAGACTTGGGCCTCTGACTTTTTAACCTCATGCAAATACGCTGTTTTGATCTGGGTGGAGGGGAGGGGACTTGCCACAGTTCCCAAAGATATCATGAAACAGATGTTGAATGGTGCTGCTACTAATGTTTTTCAACCTAAGGTCTCTGGGTTGCCGTTCCTGAAGTGTCCTACGCTCCTACTTAAGCTAGGATACCACCACTTCCAGGCATCTAATTCGTGCTGCTTTCTTTCATGGTGCATAGAAGAGTTCATCTGTTGCAGTGGGGACCTTCAGCTGCTGCAGTTAGGGAATTTTTTCTCCTTTATCCCTTGTTCTCAGTAGGTCGGCCACAGTCAAGATAGGATTGAGCTGTTGTGCTTTTAAAAGAGACTGTCAGTACACAGTGGCATTTTACTGAGAAGGGAGGAACTACTAGGTTTGGCGGTCTGCACGGACTAGAAGGATGTGGAAAACAGCACCTGTTTGGTGCAGTGTCTTAAATATACCGTTGTGTTTGTCAAAGTGTGATCACGGTGGCCCTAGGAAGGGGGCTGGGAGGCAGAGGCAAAGCAACACGGAGAGTTCCTTGTGATCTCAGAGTAGCAGCACAACTCAGACTGAGACTACACAAATGACCACTTGACCTACAGGTAAGTAGGCAGGTTTTTTCCCCTTCCTTCTGTGCTGTTGTGACCTGTGTTTAATGAGTAAAAGAGTCTGCACATCTTGCACATGGGGGAAGGTTTAAGCTTAGGGGAGAAAATGGCAAATACATACCGTTGACAGAGAAGCTACCCTAGAAACGGGGCCCCACTGGTGACTTCTCTCCCTCTATCTCCGGCCGAAAGGCAGCTATCCAAGCTCAAGTACTTTATCTTCCTGCAGACCTCCCCAAACTGTTTTTAATCAAATGTGAGTCAAGTAGCGAAATGACTCTGCTATCATTTTGTTTCTGTAACCTGTGTCTAATTCTATTTTTGGATTAAAAAGATAAAACCCTCAAACTATACTGTGTCATTCTTTTGTCTTTCCATGCACTGTAAGCACCCCAACTATGCAGCACAGGTTTGCATGTGAATTGTAGTACATTTGTTTGGGAGCTCCATCCCATCCCTTTTTTTTGGGGGGGTGGGATATTCAGTTGAGGGGGCTGATCAACTAGGGGGTTTGTTCAAAGGTTAAAGGCCAGACTGAGGGTTCACTCAGGCAGTGCCCAGCCATTGTTTGGTACCTTGTCAGCAATCTAGCAGTCCCTGCACATTGAGTCTTTCAATGTAGCACAAACCACAATTTGCCATTAGTAGAGTTTGCAATCCTGGTTTGGAGAATCTTAAAGCCCTAGTTTGCTAGCTGAGATGCTTTGTTAAAGAGTGCTTACATGAAGTCACTCTGGGTATGTCAGGGGAAGTTACTTGAACCCCAGCCCCATTCACACAGCATTAAACTAACTGTGTGAGGCATACTCTACCTTTCGATTAGCCACAGCCCCTACTCATGTTCCTGGGCAGCACACCAGCTGTTACCAGCACTCAAGCTCCCTCCATAGCTTTCTCAAGAGTTTAAATCAACAACAAAAAACAGCAAATCCCCCAAATACCATCTTCAACTCAGTAGTCGTAGTTTCAGGCTGCAGATTTTGGCTCTGCATCACAGGCAATTGAAAGAGAAGCGGGGGTTGGTAAAACCTTGCAATGGAATAACCACAGGGCAGGTGCTTTGCCTTACCAGCCTGCAGGGGTAGTTCCAGTTTTCTGCAACAGCCACTCATCTGTGTCATGTCCGTCCCCCTTCAAGTAAGGTACCATTTTAGGCCCTGTGGTTAACATGTAACATATTAAGTCCCATTCTGGCAGACGTTAAATTTTCTCCAAATGAGGTTCATCAAAATGAGGATTCACAGACTTTCAAAGTGAGGAAGAGACTTTTATAAAAGGGAACTTGGCCAGTTAAATACAAGTTGTTACCACATTTACAGACTAAAAGCAACACATCCAGAAGTGACAGACCACCTGAGGGTCGGGGGAGCAGATGCAATCAATGCCTACTGCAGGATTCTTGGGGGGGGAGGCCCCCACCACAGCACTTGCCTTAGCCCATCTACTCTGCTAAAAACTACCACAGAGACCCCACTGGGCTACCTACCACAGCCCTCTGGAAATCTGCTACTCTGCTCAAATGCATTCCAGCTAGTCACTCTGCTGCCTAACACAAGACACCCCACCCCCCAGGCTAGACCTGATGCTCAAGAATTTCACCTGCATTTCTAGGCTGGATGATGGAAGCACAGCAGAGGTTGCTGAGGCTTTAAAGCTACACAGGGCAAATGAGTGACCCAGGACTGACCTCGAGAGAGCCAGATGGCACACACCCCCTTCCCTGAAGGGCTAGCATTCTGCACAGGGAATGTGCAAGGATTTAAATTCAAGCCACAACCACAAACTGCCCTGCCAGTTTATCACAGGAATGGCCACAAACGAGCCTGCAGCAACGGAACTGCATGATCCACTGCACGTGAGATGGCCCAGAACCACTACATTGGTTCAGAGGCTTAAATGCCCGGCGGTGCTGACGCTTCCTTCCTAGCCCTCCAGTCCGAAGGCAGGCAGAATGCCACCTTCTTCAGCTAAAGCGGGGTGGGGGGAGAAGAGGGGGATGCCTGAAGGAAGAAAGTCTCCATGCAGCACATTGAGGCTAGCCATGCCCTGCCCTGCCCTGCCCTTCGGAGCAGTGTGGCACCTACTGTCCATTTCCAACGGCATCAAGGCTTAGTAATGCAATGTCTTTCCCTTCTGATTCTTGCTGCTTAGCAGACACCCTTGAAAATGTCTGTACTGCAGCTCCTCCACTCACACAATAGACCATCAAAACTCCTACCTAATGGGTATCCTTTAAACAATAATGGTGGCTCCAGCATATGAACTGTGGATCCCGGCCATGTTTAGACTAGGTGGCCCTTTCCCCAAGCCTGGGGGGGGATAGTGGTTCAGGATGAAAACCAGCTCTGGCCTCTCACTGGCAGTGAAAGGGTTGAAGGGTCAGAGGCTTACCCCCCAACCGCTGACCCACAGCCCCAAACTATCAACCCAGGGCACAGAACTTTTGCTGAGCTGCTCTGGGGAAGGGCAATTGCTGGAAACTGCTGTGGGTGTCGGGTCCTTCTTTTCTAAGCAGTTATTGGTCTGGAAGAGATAAAGTACAGGGAGAAAGTGAGCTAACATTCGTATCATTTCTTATTTGGTCTGCTCTATGGGTTAAGCCAGACATGACAGAAATCACAGATCTCCATTTATCTTTTAAAAGCCAATTACAGCCAGGCACAGCTCTCATGCAGGGGAGGGAATTCAACCCCTATGTTCCTGCACTGTTACACTAATATTAAACCACCACTCTTCATGCTGTTATTCATGCTTCTCCTTTAACCGGGGGGGGGGGGTTTGGAATATGGGGGGGGAGAAAGTTAGAATCCCCCCCATGTTGTGGGGCCCCAATTTGCTCATAAAAGATGGACACAGATCTGTGCATTTAGTTTGATCATAAGACTCAAGGTAACATTTCTCAACTATTTAAAAAGCTCTAGTAAAACCTGAAGAACAAAATGCCAGACTGAGAAAAATGGCAAACATAAAACAGCCCACACCTGCCTAACCCTCATTAAAACTGCATCTGAAAAGTATCTGTGCAATCTGGGAAAATACTTGGGCTCTGTCTTCAGAGAATGTCTGCAGCAAAGGTATTGCTACAGTTGACGGGCGGCTGCTGAGAACACAATGATGGGATTATTACCTCCTTGAAGGTGGAATGTTCCTTGCATAGGGCTCATCTATCAACTAAAAAGCCCAAACTAAGGCAAAAACACAAATTCAAGTATAAACTGCACTGATTAGCGTATGACTCATTTAAATTACATATAATGCAGAGTTATAACACACGGATTTTTGTAGTGAAGAGCAACTCATAAGGACAGGGATGGGATAGAAGTCAGGGGCCCCAAGCTTGTATCTCTGATACCAGACTGAATCTGTAAGCAGAAATAAACCAATTTTTGTCTTTGCCAGGAGTGCCAGTGTGATCCCAACACTCCCATTGCTTGGTGAATGCGCAGCGCAGTTGCCACTCTTGCAGAAGTTAGCATGACACGAGAAGACAAAACAGCTCTTCCAAATACCTTCTCAATGATCTTTTGGATTTCCAGCTGCAGCGGAACCAGGCGCTTCTTATTCTCTTGCAGCAGCCTCTGGAAATGGGATTTTTGCCTCTCAGCCACTTTTGACTGCTCCTCCATCTCAGCGAGACGCTTCTGCAGCTCCTGAACTTCAGATGCCAAGGCCTTGTTGGAAGCCTCTGTCGTTGAGAAACGGGTCTGGGTGTCTTCTATAAGCAAGGAGAAACAAAAGTCACCCTTCCAGACAGCAGAGCAGCTTGGCTGAGATCTGTGCAGGGGGCAGTGGAATCTCCCAGACCAAAAAAGAATAGCTTAGAGCTGTGAAGCCCCAAGGGGTGGGGTGGGGGGCACCAGAAAATTAAGAGAAAAAGAATACAAAACAGGATTACTTTTCTTCCAAAGACTTCCCCCCCAGTTTTTTCAACTGAAATATTGGAAATTTGGAGGAGCACTGAAAATAATATTCCTCTAAACCATCTTCTTTTGGAATGTGTGAAATCCTTTACTCATTCAAAATGCATAGGATGAAGAGTCGTCTTATGTAAGAATCTACAGAGTAGAGAATGATAATTCTGGGTAGGCTGATTCAGCACTTGAATCCAAGATGCATTTCTGCATCTAGAGAGGGCTGCCATCTTCATGAGAGAAGAAAGCACAGCCTTTTCTTGCGTTTGTGGATCGCAGCTTGCCTTTCTCTTAGGTAGTGTAAGGTGCAGCAATTTGAAGCTCTCTAGTATTGGGTATATCCACAAGTTTGCTTGTGGAAAGTTCAGGCATTTGTACTGTTAGATTTTATAAACGGAAAGAACATTTCTGCTTTTATATGCTAAAGTACAAGTGATGCCTTTTATGTTGTTAAAGCAGTAAGTTTTTATGTACTTATGTAGCCAAGCAGTTCTTACGTAGCCAAGCTAAGAACTCAAGAGGGAATTGGATAAACATATGGAGCAGAGGTCCATCGGTGGCTATTAGCCACAAGGTATAGATAGGAACTCTCGGTCTGGGGCAAGTGATGCTCTGTATCTTGGCGCTTGGGGGGGGAGGACAACAGTGGGGGGGCTTCTAGTGTCCCAGCCCCACTGCTGGACCTCCTGAGGGCACCTGGTATTTTTGGCCACTGTGTGACACAGAATGTTGGACTGGATGGGCCGTTGGCCTGATCCAACATGGGCTTATCTTATGTTCCTTATGTTTAGGTTTGATAAGATAGATAAGAAATTGCAAATATTTCATTTCCCCCCCAAAAAATTTCCATTTTTGAACAGGAAAAAAAACCATTCTTTTCCCCATGGGTTTGGAATTTCTGGAAATTTTATATTTCTAGAGCAGCTATTTTTGGCCTGAACTGAGTTGAGGATGGGGATTCAGAAACTCCCAATAAAGCTCAGTTGGAGGAGAAGGGAATTGCAAAGAGCCATGATGGCACCAGAAGTGCTGGGAGCTATTGTTCAGGTCAGTGGGGCTTTGGCAATTGCACAGCCAGATATGCTTGCAGAATCCCTATGGATGCAGATTTTTTTTTAAATACATGAACCTATTTTCCTATTCAGGAAAATCCAGCAGGGACCACTGGATGTGTCCAGTTCAAATCCCTGGAAGCCAAGGTAGGCAACAGTGGCAAAGAGCGGACAATTTAGATCATTTCAGATGTGAATTTTGAGGATTTGTGCTCGGTATATACGGAGCTAAATAAAGATCAGAGATCTGTATTCGGCTACCGAAGTAGCTGCACCCAAATAAAAGCCAATATACTCTGGTTTCTCTTCAGATCGCATAAATCTTTCGCAGCATGACTCTGGGAGTGAAGGGAAGGCATTTAAAGTTTAAATCACTTCCCTTTACTCACAGAGTCATGCTGCATGACTCCATGAGTGAAATTCTCCATTATACCCTATGGGGACAGTCCCCATAGGGTATAATGGAGCCAAATAAATTCGGGTTTCCCGAATGTTTACCCAAATACCAGTAAAATACTGATACTGGTATTCAGGAATACCAATATTTTTCTGGTCCAATAGAGCCGAATTGGGGGGGAAAACAGAAGAAAAAAAATTTGCACACCCCTAGTAAATTCATGCAATCAGTTTTATATTAGGCAAAGAAACTGTTTGCATGAGTTGAGTTGGGACCCCAGACACAGTGGAACATTGCGTCGCAGAGTGCTTGGAGGCGTTAAGGTGATGCTTTCAGCCTCCTCTTTGCCACAGCAGCCTGCCTTGGCATGGATGGAGGCTGCTAATGGCCCCTGCTTGATTTTCCTGAATGACAGGCAGCAGCTAGGCCCATGTATCTAAAAAATTCTGCATCCAGAATATAATTTCTGGTCAGGGTTTTTTGGGGGGCACTTTGATGAGGTCTAGGTTCTAAGTGCCACTGAGGTACTCAATGATTTGCTATGGGGCTAAAGCAAAGAGGTCGCTTCCCACTGAATTCTGCCTCGGCCCAGCATCTTGGGGATATTGTTCAGGTTGGGGTCATCCTTCATGGAAACAGGCACCGACCCTGACCATGTCTCTCTCACCCAACTTGAGCTCCAGTGTATGGATTTTGTTCTCCAGATAGAGGCGACTGTTTTCTGTCTGCTCTGCCTTCTCCAGCAGTTTGCTCACGTTAAGGACAGTTCCATTGTATGAAACTAGATTGCCGGACTGAGTCTCCAGATTTGGCTTGGAGGTACTCTTGGGAAGGGAGGATGATGAACGCAGTAAGGCAAGGTTCCCTGCAAGAACAAGAACATTTACTCAGCCACTGAATACTCATTTAGAACATATACATCTTAGCCCTTCTATCCTGAACTACATTCCCAGGGTAGGTATCTGTGCGTAAATAGGAACACAGCAAGCAAAAGACTGACGATGGGGCGGCAACATTTGTTTGGAGAATCAACTGCCAGTTACACCTCTTGCTGGGCAGGAAGTTCTACTCCCTCTTGCAGTGCAAAAGAGTACCACTGTCCCAAAGAAAAGCTGTCCACGCTTCTCAGTGATGGGCTGATCAGATCTGTGAAGAAGCCTCTCCTACCCAACATCAGTGGCTGAGTTCTTGTACCAAGGCAGAGGAAGTGGGCAGCGCATGCAGCTGAGTTGCCAAGGGCATGTAGGAATTGGGGGGGGGGGGGAGAGATTGGAGCTATTCTCCAGCACTGCATATGACTGGATGCTGAGTAACTCAAGACAACTAGAAACTATTAATCTAGGACCAGAAGGGTAGGAGCTGAGCCAGAAGTTGTTAGGAGGAATTCTAGATGAAAATGTGGACCCTGCATCCACCTCCATACTACTGAACACTCCCCCCCAGTCCAGATTTGGTACCTACCTAATGGCTCCTCATCAGGACCTGGCTCAGTCCCTTCCTGCCGGTTGTAGCGTAGGCTGGAGTAGCGGCACACGAACTGCGTCACCACCCTGTTCACCAGGCGCTTCACCTGCCACCAGATGAGATACCCCCTCCATGAAAGGCACTGGGAAAGGCCACCCATGGATCCTTGTGCCCTCAGTGCCAGCCAGCCAAAGGATGGTCTGCATCCCCAAATCATTCAAGCATTCAGAAAAGCAGGGAACAAAAGGGCTGGTGCTCACCTGCTCTTTGCAGAGATGCAGCCCCAAGGTTAGGAGAAGCTTCTCGATATCCTTCCGGTGCACATAGCCACAGAAATTCAAGTCAAAGTAAACAAAGGCAAGGAGGGCATCCAGTGGCAGCACAGCACTCGGGTCCAACTCTCTGGGCTGGGAAGGAAAACACACACACACACACAGTGGTGCTTGATTGGTCAAGCTGCCACTTCCCTGATCCTGCACCACAAACTTCAGTAATCAACCAGAAAGGATAGAGGGTTCTCTATGGCATAAACTGCTGATTTAGTATCAGGAAGGATCAGGCTCCAGACACCAGCTCTCTAATGCTACACTAGATTCAGCTGGATCCTGTGTTCTGTGGAAAGGTGACCTGGAATGAGTCCCGATGGCCTCTGGGTGAAAAGAAACTACAGAGACAGCCTGAACAGCCAGAAGAAAGTACACTCAGCAGCCAAAAACCACAAAGCGCTCTGTCTTCCTTTCTTACCCTGGACAAAGCAATATGGGATAGTAAGTTCCAGGAACTCATGGAACAGAAACTTGCATAGACATGATTTTGTCACACACTGCAAAAAGCAGATCCTAGCGCAAAGTTGAACATTGGATCTGAGAATCCAAGCAAGTCTTTTACAAAGAAGTTTCTAGTCCATGTGTACATAAAGGGAATGCTGGGTGGCAAAAGGACAACTTCTATGCAAAAAGATCAGCATACCAAAAGATACCATATTCCCTGAAAGGATAAACTCCCAAATTGGGTATTTTCTAATGTCCCAGGGCCCCAAACTAAGTTCCTATTCCTCTCCCTCAATTTCCTTACCCAATCTAACCACTAACCACTCACTCCAATCATGCATGCAAACTGGCCCAGTTATAAATAGGAGTCTGTTAGCTCATTTACTGTACAACACAATTCTCAGCTCACAAGCTGCCATTTCTCCTAACTGAACATCAAAATTGGACCGTGTTGCTAAATTAGTGACAGTTCCACAAAAGCTGAAGCATGAATCCTATACGTTGTTTCTGCTTGCTTGAAAATCTTCCATCTATTGCAGAGGCAGTCTTCCAATGCAAAGTGTGTTCCTCTGGCACTAGGCACTTCCACCCACTCAAGTCTAGAACGTTCCTAGCACCAGAGGACGGCCTCCATAACAAAGGGCGGTGGCACACGGAAACAGGGTATTGGATCCAAGCCATAATCTTCACTGCCAACATTGGGTAAAACAGACCACAAACAATTTCCAGAGCTTCTAACTGAAAGGATCCAAAGTAGATTGTAAGAAGAAGAAAAAAGAAAGTTGTCTACTGACCACATCATGAAGTGAGGAGAATTCAATCTCTGACTGATTGGATGCGACTGATCTCACTTCAGCATCTTCCAGCTTGACACCTGTTACATTAGAAGACATGGCCTGCTTTGGATGCTGGGTGCAAAATGACCACCTGCATTAGGCCAGGTTAAATACAATGTGCATTCCGAAGACCTTCAAAGCACCGTGACTGGCACAACTGCAGAAGGGGAAGTTGTATGGCACTGGTTTAACAGAACAAGCTAGAGAAAGAGACCTGGGAGTCCTGGCCTTCTCTACCAGGGCTAGGGTAACTACGCAATACAACAAGCCACCTTTTGTCTTCTCTACAATTAAATACTGTGGCAGGTGGACTTGTCTGCAGGCGGCACTGGTTCCTCCACCAATCCCACACCCTAACCTTGCCACCTTCCCTGCAGATTTCCCACGCTTCCCACAGTACTTACCAAAATCCTCCTCCTCTTCCTCTCTCAGGAGCAGCAGGTCATCTTCCAGGCTTAGATCACACAGCTCATCGGTAGAGTCCTTTGAGTCTGCTTTGACACTCCCACTGCTCTTCTCCTTAGGTGCGTTGGCCCCGTCTTGACCTGCAGGCTTCTCCTCCACGTTGCTTCCCTCCTCCTTCTAGGGGTTAAAAAAAGCACATTAAAAGGACTTTGTACACCCTGCACACAAAGACAAATCCCTGGGCAATCAAAATTCTGTGATATGTATAAATTAAGCAAGTGTCCACAGTTTCATTTAATTTGCATAATTTATTCTGCTTGTTTTTGCTATCTCTCTCTGCCTCTCCAGTGACAGAGAGAGAGAGAACATCGCATGGACATGCAAACCACAAAAGCATCACTCCCAGCCAACATCCAGAAGTCTAGCTCAGCCTCCTATCTAGGTTTTGCAGTTTCAGGATGCACTTTCCAATGTCTCTCTTCACAGCCATTAGGGGAAGAAACTTGCTTTTTTTAACCATGAAAATTGAGACAATCTCATGTATGCCATGTGTGGCATTCTGCCCTTTTTCTGTTGTCCCAGGTCAGAGTGGCATGCACACCTAGCCCTGCACATCAACCCCTCCATACACTCAGCTCTGCCCTAGGGAAGGTTACGACGCAGACTTCTACTGCCCTTGGCCTTGGGAGGCACGCTGACTTACCTGAGCATCCTCCTGGTTAATGGCAGGTGCCTCCTCTGCCCCTAGATTTTCTTTAGACTCTTCTTTAGATTCTTCTTTAACTTCACTCTCTCCCTCCTTCTCCATATCAGCTGCTTTCTCTGGTTCGGGGTTCTTTGCCTCCAGAGGCTCTTCCTTCTCTGGCAGGGCCAGTAATGCCTTGTAGAGCTTATAGCCGAAATCCCGTTGAAGCATCTCCTGGAAGAACTCGGCCACCACTGCCACCTCGGGGGGGGGGGAGCGGCAAGGACAGCAGTGAGTAAGAGGCAAAGGAAAGATCTCAAGGTCTCTCTCAGAATACAACACAAAAGGGCATGCCTAAATACACCACATATGAGACCTTCATCAGGCCAAGAGGTACAATCCACACAGCAGCATACCTCTCCCCACAACACCTCCTCTTCTTCTGTCCGTGCTCCCTCCAGCTACTGATGCCCCCCTTCCTTACCCCAACTCCGCCGTTTTCTTTCCTCCACCACCCTGCTCACAGCACCAGGAACATACCTACTTATGACCCCAAAACCATGCTGCTGCTTTGACCACTGCCATCCCTTCCTCCCAAACTCCCCTGATGCCAGCACACGGCTGGGACCAGGAAAACAGAAGGAAAATCTGAATCCATAACCAAAGGCCTCCTCATTCGCTTGTTCAACTCCTTGAACTCGTTTTAGGAGACACAAGCATTCTATAGCTCACCTGAGCATCTTCCCTTCCAGAAAATAGCACAGAATACCTACAGCTACGCTATACAAAGGATGAAAGGTGGCAAAAGAGGCAGGGAAATGTCAGGACACTTTTAGCAAACCAGCCTCCCTTTACAGACTCCAAGCGTGGGAAATGAAGCCTACCTCAAAGGAGAGCTTCTCCCGCTGCCGCCTGTACTCCAGCAGGGCATAGAGAGAGATGTTGGCGCAGCTGGGCTGCCCCCCCTGCAGGGCTGGCTGGGGATGAGCAATGATGGCCGGTTCCAGGGGGGCAGTTGGGGCCTCTGGTTCAGGTGCCGGGGGCTCCACAGCTGGTTCAGGGGCAGATTCGGCCGAGTCTCCTTCCTGCTCGCTGGCCTCCATCTCCTCCTCAACGGCTGGCTTGGAGGCCTGTTCAGGTTCGACTTCCTGTTTAGGGGCAGAAACACTGTCATCCCAACTATCCATTTTCATCAGTGGGATGATCCTGCAGAGCCAGAGATGCAAGCAGACTTCCCCCCCATGTCCTTCCAGACGGGCTGGATTAGATGCAGCTTCCCACTGGGGCACTAAGACCCCCCCCACCTTGCTTCTAGTTGGATTTTCCCCAGGTGCTCCAGTCCTTCTCTGTTCAGGTGATTCCCTCCATCCTACTCCAGCCCCTTTCTCACCATCTCCACTTTCTCTTCTGACGGTGGTGGAGCCTTTTCGGCTTTCTGCTTGCACAAGGCCTCCCATTCCTCTAGCGAAGGCATGCAGCTCCAGATGTCAGGCAGGAAGACCACCACCTGCTCCTGATGAGAGGGGCTTCCTTCATGCAGATATCTGAACTCCGCAAATCGGAACCTGATGTACAGAAAATTTAGAAAGCCAGGCAGTTAAGACACAAATGCAGCACTTCCCAGTAAAAGCTCAGTCTTATTAAGGCAGAGTGCAGCTTCTAGGTTCAGTGCATCAAGACCTTTCCTTCTCGGCTGGACACACAGCCCTGTTAAGTCTTCACAAATCCTACCTCATTCCAGTTCTGTGCCTCCCAGAGAGGCCAGAAGAAGGAAAAGTTGATCGCTCGGGGGGCTCTTGCTTGGGCAGCACCACCATAACACTTCCACTGGATGCACTCGTAGAGAGAGAGACCGATGAACCCCAAGTACTCTCCAGTCCTATCTGTCGGGTGGCGAAGCCCCCATCAATAAACCAGACAATATCAGGACCTATATCCTCCACATTTCTCAACTCAGGCCCAGGGTGAGCAGAGCAAGGGAGGTTCTACATGCAGACTGACTACACAACTAATGGAAAGATATAAAAGCTCTGAGCTTTGTGGAACTGTTGCTTAGGCGCTTTCACCAGGGGATGCAGGACTCTACTACTAGCCTGCCTGGTTACTAGACAAAAGCATGGAAGGGAGAGAGACAATGAGAAGCTGTTGAAGGAACAAGACAAAACCAAAATAAAGAATCTTTTCTGAAGAGGCAGGGTTGCCACTTAGCATTTGTTGGTAAGTATTTAATAGGATTCTTGCCTAAAGCTATGGGGAGGGGGTGTTAATCAGAAATGTAACTAACCCCCAATTTCTGCACCAGGATTGCTATGTAGATTAGACAATTCACATACTCAACTGATCTATATACATGGTGAATGCCTTGTTGGCGATTGTGTTTCTCTGGATTTATAGTTCAAGGACTATGACAATGGAGGGAAAGGAGGGAACGGGAATGGTGGGCTGATGGCCAGTTCCATGCAATAGCCAGGGCCTGAGGTCTGTTTTGCCTGTGCCCGAAGCGTGTGGATCGGCTCACTTGCTAAGGTCACCCAGAAAGGCGGCTCAGGAGGTAGCACACGTCCCTAGATTCCTTTCCTTAACATAAATCCCAATCAATCCCACCAAAAAGCACTTCATGCCAAGGCAGACACATTTTGCACAAACCTTATTTTATTTGAGGGAGCAATTTGGGAAAGAGGTGTACAGGTTTGGTATATAAGGGTATATGCTTAAAAAGCCCCTCTCACCCAGACATGGCTACCATTCTAAAGCTCAATTAAATATTTCTAAACTTCTGGGATACATTCAAGGAACGATAAGGAATTTTTGTTTGGGGGGATCTTTTCACATGTTATGGTTTGGCGTTGAATGCACACTTGTTAGGGAATTACAACTAATCCTAACTTTCAAAAACACAAACATGCCTATATGAATTCTGTGTTGGCAATAAGGATGTGGAATGACCCTTCACCTAGCGAGGCTCAAGCTAACTCCATTGGAGAAGCTCTGCTCCACAGCCAAGAAGACTGAGACAGCCATGGTGAGCCAGCCCGGCCCAAAGAATGACAGTCCCACGAATGTCCACTGTTGACTCTCTCCATGGAAACTACAGCCAAGAAAACAGAGGAGGACACTTTGCAGGTTTTTTTGGTCTACCACCCTCTTCACCTCCAGGGACAAATCCTGTCCACCAAGCTCATCTACTGCAGTTGCCCCAGCACTGGACTTCACCCTCCAAAGAAGTCTGGCTTTGCTCAATGTTGCAAACAGACGGTGTGAACTTCTGAGCAACAAGCGCTCCAACCCAAGACCGAATTCAACAGGTGGCAAAGCTTCAGAAGCCCAGAAGCTCCCATCTTCCCTCATCTGTTGCTTCCCAAACAAGTCACATGCAAAGCCAGGTTTAAGCAAAATAAGATCAGTTGCCATGGTTACCCAGCACAAGAAATCTATATATAGCCATGATGCAACCAACCAAAACCAATGCGCTCCCAGTTCCGGCTTCTTCCTCGGTATTGATTGGATGGAGATCTGCTCTCATGAAGTCCCGGCTGGTTCCAAAGAGCTCACGTGCAAAAGAACCTGCCGGAGCTCCAAGGAAACACACGGCTCTTGGTTAGGATAGCAGCACAAAAGGGCTTTTCCTGGAAGCAGCTCTCCTAGGCCAGTGCCAGGCACATGTCTTGACAGATTGAGCTCAGGGCACCAGCGAAAAGCCTCATGCCTGGGTGTACAGAACAACTAGTCCTCTTGGTAATAATGCCTATATTAATTCCTAAAAAAAATTCACATATTTCTGGTTCCCCTCAACGAAGCAGCCTCTCACCCTCCTAACAGTGGGCCAAGACAAGAGGTTGCTCATTGCTCCCAGGGGGTTTTGGAAACAATTTCATACCCATTGAGAGAATACAGCCTCTAGCACAGCACCTGCACTGAACCCATGTCCATGGGGTGAGCTACTTGTTTAATACACACTAACATTTACCAAGTTGGCTTCTGTTTGTGAAAAGTGTGGGTGGAAGGCATGGAAATTGGGACTGTTTCTGTTGAAGACCTTTCAGCAAGTCTAAGGTGGGGCTCCCTGATCCACAGCAACCTGGTCAATAACACTACCACATTCACTCACCCGGTCATTTTTAATGGTTTGTTAAAAACCCATTTTAGCTGCCCTGACCTGGACAGCCCAGGCAAGCCTGATCTAATCAGATCCCGGAATCTAAGCAGGGCCAACCCTGGCAAGTAACTGGAAGGGAGATCTCCGAGGAATCCCAAGTCTCGGGACACAGAGGCAGGCAATCAAGCCACCTCTCTGATATGTCCACCCCCCACTAGGGGTCGCCAGAAGTCACCATAACTTCCAGGCATGCAAGCACATACACACACACAGACACACACAAACCCACCCCCCAAAATATTTTAGTTATTCTTTAATTCCGGCATATAATTTTGGTTTTCTAGCCTTACAATTCTAGACATAGCTTCAGGTAACCCTCATCCTGATGCTTTTTGGTTTTGCTGATTTTAACTGATGGTTCTCCTTTTTTGGGTATTGGATAGCACTAATCCAGCTGCAGGACACCCCTGGGGAAAAACATGCTAAATCAGTTCCCAGACCCTCCATATTTAAACAATGCATTTTCTGTATGCATCTCTGGCACACTTCCCTTGAACAGCTAACAAAAAAATAAGATTCCGAACACAGCCTTCTGGCATGTTCAAAACAAACAAAAACAACATTTCACATATTCTATCTTCTTACTTCAAATAGTTTTATCTCCTATAAGCTGAGTTAGTGTGAGCTAGCTCACAGTTTTTTAGCCTCCAGCTCACAAATTTTTGTCTTAGGTAAGGAAGGTGGGCTCCAGAGCAAAATAATGTACGCAGTAGCCAAATCGCTTGCTCACAACTTTAACGCCAGTAGCTCACAAAGTAGAATTTTGCCTCACAAGACTCCACAGCTTAGAGGGAGCATTGCTTACAACCCTGTACGGCAGGTCAGCTTTGTTACCCTTATACTGCAAATGAGGACTGATGCTGAGAAGTGGTAGCTATAGGCCACTAAGTGAGCTGGAATCTGAACAAGTGACTGCTCTCACATTTAGATTGGCATAAATGTTAGTCTTTCAGATGCCATAAAGTTTTCTTTTTGGTTTGGCTGTAACAGACCAGCAGGGCTACCCCTCAGGAACTTCTCTCCAACCCAACTCATTACAAGAGACCGCCACCTAGTGGTCAACCCAGCCAAGTGATAATATGCAGGAAATTCCATTCCTGAAAAGCTGCAGTTTGTGGAAAGCAAAAGAAACGCCACCGACTAAAAGAGAAATTGGCCACATAGGTAGATTGGAGGGGAGAGCTGACTCAGTGATTTCTGTTCTTGGAAATGGGAAATGTCTCCCGATAAAACTGGCTTTAACGTGTTCAGAGTTTTGGTACAGCTAGGAATAAGGCCTGTTGTGGAAATAAATACAACGAGCTCTAGAAAGAGGCTCTTTGCAGGTGCCCTGGCCTTGGGCACTCAAGTGTCAATTTGCTGTGGTGACCTCAGCAGGGTATAATGACACAGACCTTACAGTTTTCTCCAGGAGAACTGATTTCTGCCATCTGTAATTCTGAATGATCTCCAGCCCTCCCTTGGAGATTGGCAACAATGGTTCCCCGGGAGGAAATGGCTGGTTTGGAGGGTGGGGTCTATGGCTTTGTACCTGTCTGAGGTACCACACCTCCTCAAACCCCACTCTCTCCAGGCTCCACACCTCAACTCTCCAGGAATTTCCCAACCCAGAGGTGGCAACCCTATTTTCTTCCCAGGCAACCATCAACGTACCATTATCTGCCCCTCTGACTTCAGGTTTCCATCTCTTCCCCCCTCCCTGTAGCCTCTACCTAAAAAAACTACAGTCTTTCTCTGTAGTGGCAACCCAAGCAGGAGGGAAGCGACCTCAGCAGGGTATAATGACAGAGTCCACCCTGCAAAGCAGCTGTTTTTTCCAGGGGAGCTGATCTCTGCCATCTGGGGAGCAATTTTAATTATTATTTTTTTAGCCCCGGAGGGGATTTTTTTATTGCTTTTTTTTAACACTACAAAAAACTACAACAGAAAAGGGGGAGGGGAAAACTACATATAAGGGAGAAAGTAAAGAACCCACTACTGACTAAAAACCCAAGAGAGGAGATCCTCTAACTACCTTTTTTTTAGCATCCAAACTTATAATCTTTGTACTTCTTATGAACTGTGTCAATCTTTTAGAACTTTTAACCCTCCCCATTTACATTTAATTCTGAATGGTTCTCCAGGAGGAAAAGCACAGTCTTTCTCCACTGTTGTCCCCTACGAATCATTGTTAGTCCCTTGTTAATATGTGTAACTGTAAATCACTCAGAGCCAGCAGCTCTGCAGGATTGAGCGATTAATAAATTGAAAGATATTATTATTATTACATCATTCTCCTCTCTTCCTTTGGATCTGCACAACAAGCCTGTGAGGTAGGTTAGGCTGAAAGTCTGTGACTGGTCCGAAATCACCCACTCCACTTCCACAGCAAGAACCTGGGTCTGGCAGCCCTGTTCTGAAGTGCTAACTGCTATGCCTAGGGTAGCCAACCTCCAGGTGGAGCCTGAAGATCACTGGGTATCACAACTGGACTCCAGACATTAGATCTCTTCCCTTCTGGAGAAAATAACTGCTTTGGAGGGTGGGCTCTATGGCATTCTATTCAGCTGAGGCCTCTCCCCTCCCCAAACTCTGGCTTCTGTAGACTCCACCACAGAATATCCAGGAATTTCCCAACCTGGAGTTGGCAACCCTAGTCAAGACGGGCCCCAATGAGTTCCCTACAAAGCCCTGGAAATCGCCTCCTGCCTCTTCCTTTTTACTGACAGAACCAAGCATGGCTGCCTAGCAACAGCCACTGAGGGAAAAGTTAGTCTCACAGGAGCCAAGCAGGAGAAGTGTCTTCGTCAGGAGAGACAGCCATTTGGCAATTTATTCTGTGAGAGAAGATTGTCCAAGCTGGCAGTAGATGGGGGAGAGAAGCAGACCCAGCACCCAGCCAATGGCACACGAGTACTCTTGACTGGCGGTTGATGGGCCAATGGCTGATGGAGCGCACTGTATAGCCAATGGGAGAGCTGGAAATGGCCAATACACAAGGGAATTATATACATAGGATACCTGTATCAGAAAGAGTAGCTATAAGAATGCATTAGGTAATTTGAATTGCTTGTGTAGGACAAGGGACCAGTGAATGCAATTTATGAATGTGATTTCTGATATTTCTCTTGACATGTAGAATGCCAGCTGCCACTGTGCCTTATTAGCATTCAGCCTAGCCAGAGGAGATTTAGAATAGAATCAATTAGAGTATTATTTTTTAATGGTTAGAGGTCCTTTTTTAGACTCAGAAAATAATAGAATGGAATGTACACTTTGAAATTATAAGCTTCCCAGCTAAAGGACATCCTAAAGCAAAGTTATGAGATGTAAAGACTCTGAATGTTCCCAAAACAATATCTTTCTTTACAGAGCAGAGCATCTGGCACCAGGAAGTCTGCCAAGAGCTAAGTTTTATGTCTCTTAACAGGGAACTCCCCATTTTTAGGTTGAAGCAAATAAGTCAGGAATGGTGCTAAAAGAAGGCCCCTTTGTTCATTTATGTTCTCCACTGTTCTGGGCCAGATAAGCAGACGTAATCACTGACACTTATGATCAACTAAGGAATATGCCAATAGAGAGGTGCCAGCTCAAATGGTGTTCTGATGACGATACCTGTTGGATACCAGTTAGGGATTTCTTTATGTGTAAACTGTCATGATGTCATTTGGGGTATAAGAGCTATTGCCCTTCCTGGTTGGAGCAGAATACAGCTTGGTGTTACTGGGTGCCAAGGTATCCAGTCTTGTATTTTCCTGATTATTGCAATAAACAGATATCTATCCTCTCCCTGGACTCCAACCATGTGTTCCTTATTCGGCCCCGGGAGCACACGGGGCAGATTTGTGCATCACTTTGGCCAATAGAAAAACCATTATGTGCCATAGTAACAACCAAATCCAATCAGCTTCAGTTTCTAACCATTGCCTCTACTGTAGCCATACAAAAATTTCTACTGAGCTATGCAGAGCATCCTTTGTTTCTAGAATTTGGCCCATGCAGCTGTGTTTTGTTTTGTTTTACTTTTAATAAAGAAACTGACTCAATTCTTGAAATTCTGGTTTCTGAACTTCCTCATATTTTTGCCACAACACAGCATGGTTTGTTCTAATGACAAGACATTACATCCTCTAGCCCATTGCACCTCTCACAGAGCAGAGAAGTCGAGATTGCAGAAGGCAAGCAAAATGGTGCCCCATGAGTAGGGATGGGCACAAACCTAAAAAACTCGGTTTGGGGCAGCCTCCAAACCCTGATTTAAAAGGTAAAGGTTTCCCTTATGCGAAAACTAGTCGAATCTGACTCTATGGGACAGTGCTCATCTCCGTTTCCAAGCTGAAGAGCCAGTGCTGTCCGAAGTTGTTTCTGTGGTCATGTGCCTGGCATGACTAAATGCCAAGGCGCACATAATGCTGTTACCTTCCCACCAAAGTGGTACCTATTTATCTACTTGCAATATCTTGCTTTCAAACTGCTAGGTTGGCAGCAGCTGGGGCCAGAGACGGGAGCTCACTCCATCACGTGACACTAGGGTCTCGAACTGCCAAACTACAGACCTTCCAGTCCGCAGATCAGCATCTTAACCTCTGAGCTACTGCAGCTAAACTGAGCTAAACTGAACCAAAAGGCCCCCATTCGAACCAAGCCAGTCCGACAACTTTGGTTCCCCCTTTCTCCTGACCTGGTAGCCATTTAACCCATCCATTTCACATCCCCCCCGCTTTAAAGCCTGGGGGGGAGTAAAAAAGATGGGTTTAATGTCTGCAAGCCATTTAAAACTAACAGCTGACTGGTGGACCCACTAGCAGCCATTTCACTGGTACGTTTTGCTTTCCCCCACACTTCGAAGCGGGGGAAAGTGAAACCAACCAGTGAAATGGCTCACAGCCATTTCAACCTCACAGCAGGGCAGGTCTGCCCATCAGCGGGGAGGCTGAAATGGCTTGCAGACATTTATAGACCTAACAGCTCAGCTGTGGACCCTGCCTTAAACAGCCAAACCAAACCCAACAAAAGTCTGGTAAATGTTCAGGGAACACACCTTCCCTGAACATTGATTCAGGGGCTCTGAACCAGCCCAAGTTGTGCCAAATTTTGACTCGTGAGCTGGTTCGTACCCATCCCTACCACTGAGTGCCCTGGCTCACATTCATTTGCTCCAAGCTCCCCACCATCATCTGTTCAACCTGTCACTCCACAGAGACTGGCATGGCACTCGTGTAAGAAGCATGCATATGCATGCCACCTCCTCCAAGATCAGAGAGGTCTGCTTGAAACACTGACTTCCAGCTTCATTCCTCCATCTCAAGATTTTCAACCAAATTCAAATGTATGTAGGCATCTATTCTGACTCCTCAATTTAGGCAGCAAGTCAGAGAGATCTAATCAAGTATGTTCCACTTAATTCAGAGCAAACCACCTGCTAGACCCAGCTGACAAGATTTCGGGTGGGTGATGAATCCCTGGCTACAGCAAAGCTGTTACAACTGAATCTTTTGGAAGTAGTATTCCTTTTTTTTTTTTTTTAATAATATATTTATTGGGTTTTTTAATCCTATATCTTACACAAATCCATCAGCAAGATTACATACATGCAAACCGGATTCTTGACAGCATATCTTCTCTATAGCAACACAGAGTAACATTCTTAATTCTCAATCTTACAAACGAATCTGTATTGAATAACTTCTATATCCAATATTTTATATACTGTCTTCTCAGAACTATGCACAAAAATTCATATCTGTTTTATCCGTTATTCTAATTTACATGTTATCTTTTCCTTTTTCTTCACCTTATACAGTTCTGACACTTGTCTCTCCTCCAATATCTTGCCCACACCTTGCTTTCAATATAGGAATTTAATCTTTAATTTTTAAATTTTTATATCTTTTCCTGTTATTGCTCTTCCCATACTTCAATAAATCTTTATGTCCATCTTTATGTCCATTATATTTATTAACCTCCTTTAGGAACTATTATCTCTCTTTCTACTCCACCCTTTTCTTTCACATATAAGTTTTCCCTTGGCTTCCCTCTTACTCCCATCTGAAAGTGACCCTAATCCACTCATAATACACTTTTGGAAGTAGTATTCCTAAAAGGGAGCCAGGCCTACAGGCAGAGTTAAAGAGATGGAATATATTCCCGAAGGCAGTCTGTTGGCTTCACACTTGATACCTGCCTGGAAGACGGCTTACATGAGTATATGCCTAAACAGATCCACCTGTTAGTGTATACTGAGAGAGATTACAGTGGCCTTCGAAAACACACCTCAGAAGAGGAACACTCACCATTTGGTACAGGCACTCAAATCCACACCAGTCTGCGCTTTGGTGCAACGAATGGCCGTGCGAATCAGAACCATGGGGTTTGTGGCTGGGTCAGGACCATCCAGAGACGAGGACCACTCCCCTCCAATCAGCACTGCTTCATCTGTTTTCTTTCCCAGCAAGAACTAGAGGAAGAGAAACTGTGAGACAGGCTACCCAGTCTCCATCCAGCTTGCAGGGGAGGGGGGAGGGCGGGGAGAGTCTCCCAACTCCTATGACTTATCCAGGCTACAGCCTAAAATCATATCCGACTGAGTAGCACCACTTCATTCCCACTGATAGCACTGACAGCTCCATAGCAGGCTGAAACATCCTTCTGCCTTACCACCACAGATTCAGAATCGAAGAAGACCAAGATGCCATGAAGTCTAACCCAGAGGAACTGCCAACCAGCCCTCTGACACAGATCAACCCGTTCAAACCAAAACCAAGAACCCAATCTATGTGATACCTTTTATTGGGACCAACAAAAATGACACAAAACCATGTGTAAGCTTTCCACTTCAACAGAACTCTTCATCAGACAGGACATTACACAATGTGTGTGGGGGTGCATTACAGTCCATGGATTTTAAGATCTGTTCTTGCCCGCACTGCTGTGTTTAATACTGGGGAAGCATGTAGATTTAAAGTGGTGCTGTTGGTGTAGACTGCACTCTGGCTTCTGTGAGCAAGAAAAAACAGATCATGTCCCTCCACTGAAATTACCAAGGCCTGCAATTTTCTCTGTACCTCTCTAACTCCAAGCAAGGCTCGTAGCTGCCTTGCAGGCCAAGAGCAAAGAAATCACTCAGCAGTCATTGCGTGAAGAGTTTTGAAGATACATTTAAGGTGACATATGAGGTGCAAAGTCAATTTTATTTTGTAACATCCCGCCTGATTAAGAGTTCTGGTGAATTCAAAAGCCTGCAACACTGTCTTGTGTCTTTTTGATTGGTCCTAACAAAACGTTTTTAATGGATTGGGTTCTTGGTTTTTGGTTTTGCTTTCGGACCAGCATGGCTGCAAATAACTTTTGTCCACAAAAAGGGGGAAAGGGTGCCGCAGAAAGATACTTACAAAACCAAAGAGAACCAGTGCATTCCTAGAGATGGAGAGCAGGACAAAAACCCAAGTTCACATCCAGGCTCAAACATGAACTCACAGAGCAGCCAAGGACAAGCCACTGTCAGCCCCACTATCGAAAGGGAACAGTGGCCCACCTAACTTATAGGTGTGATGTGGGGCAGGAGACATAAAGGAGTGCACACAGCTTAAAAATGGTTATTAATACTTCTAAGCAAGCAGGGAGGGGACTTCTCCCTACAACATTTAGTATTTCCATCTACCTGGACGTAAACTTACTACTAACCACAAATATATCTCCCCAATTTTTTTAACGTGTTACTGCATGCCGTCTGGCATCCTGTCTCTAGTGGTAGTCTTGATATCCCAGAGAAAAGAGGGGAAAGAAAATTAAAAGGTGGGAGTGAGAGGTCATTCTAGATCCCAGGAAGATACATGCACCACATCTCAGAAACAAAAACTGAAATCACAACACAGCCTTCATACCTGAGCATTTACCCTGAACCATATTTTTAGTCTGCAAGCTAACCCTGTTTCTCAAAATCCAGCTCCAACTTTTTTCTTAGCTCCTGACATGCTTTGGAATCACTCTGTTCTTTCACTAGCATGAGTCTCCTATTGTTTCTTATACTCTTGCATGAGCTCAGATCTCCCCTCCCTTCTCCTGAATGTAAAGACTCTCACCTTAATTTGCTTTGTTGGATGCTCGGGATTCTCTCTCTGCTCACTGGAATCTTCAATGTATAGCAAGCAACTACGGTAGAATTCTTCTATGCCTGGAGAAGACAGCAGCAAAACCTACACTGGGGAAGAGGCCACAGCTTAGTGGGACAGCACAAATTCTGAACATAGAAGGTCCCCAGGTTCAATCCCTCGCATCTCTGCTGGAAAGGGTATCAAGCTGTACAGCTGGAAAGGACCTCAAAGAGCCTCTATTAGTTGAAGTAATAGGCAGAATTAGAACAGTTTCATTCAAGCAAAGTGGCACAACTGGAAAAACCAGAACTTTCCCTAAATTCCACTGTGATGTCCCTTTAAAAAAAAAACCTCAAACAAGGCCTTTGAGTGAAGATTGGATGGTCTTTATGAGGCCTTGGTATTTATGCCTGTACTTCCTGGTTGTCTCAGTTCATAAAGTTCAACAATCAGTGGATGAGTAGCTAAAATGTTTTGATTGTTTTAAGAAAATGTTCTACACAGAGCATTTTTTTAAAAATGGCTGATGATTTTTAATGTAAAGTACTCATAAAACCATGGGTGGCAAAGCACTTTCTTCAAAGGGGACTTCCCCTTTCTCTCACACACAAGAGGGAACTTCTCTTCCAAGAGGGTGTCTGCCCTGACACATGCACACATCATCTGTAGACAGAAAGAATCTCTCTCTCTCTCCTGCATAACTACGTGTTCATTTATATGGAAATTTGAGAGCCAGTTTAGCATAGTGGTTAAGAATGACAGCACTCTAATCCAGAGAACCGGGTGTGATTCCTCACTCCTCCACATGAAGCCAGCTGGGTGACTTTGGGTTGGTTACAGCTCTCTCAGCCCACTAACAAGTCTAGCTCGCCACACTAGTGGTGCATAACGCTAAAGAGTCAGAACCTTGGCTATCACACAATCCTCAGATCTCCTGGCTATATAACATTCACTGCCAATAATAATAATAATAATAATGTTTATACTGTTTAATATTAATAATCAATTGATTAAAACCTACACGTTCATTAATTGAGTAACAGTCTGAATTATTTTAAGATTTTTAAAAATGCTTATGAGCACTGCCCAGGGTGATCTTTGGTTCCAAAAGTCAGGGTATGAATTAGATATTATTATTATTACTACTATAGCACTATTACTACTATTATTATTATATAACAACTACCACCACTCTTATCTCATAATTTGAAGATGCAGCTGGTGGACGTGACTCCTCTGCTCGGTCCCCAATTCCTTATGGCTCTGACACCAGCAACTTAAGTCAGTTAATAAAAGTTAATATTGTAAAGTAGTTAAACTAGGATTCGGGAGAACCAGTTTTGAATCCTCACTCTGCCATGGACGCCTAGCTGGGTGACCTTGGGAAACTCCTTCTCTCTCACCCTAATCTATCTCACAAGACTGTTGTTGTGATGTAAAATGGAGGAGGGAAGAATTATGCTCTAAGCTGCTTGGGGCCTCCATCAGGGAGAAAAACAGGGTATAAACACACAAACAAACATAAACGGACACTCAGCCTTAGGTGAATCTGTACAGTACTGCACTCAGCACAAGGGGAACACCACTCCACTTGCTCAGCTACTGACCTACATCATGAGCAACAAGGTTAAGGCTGCACTGGCCTTTAAATGTGATCTACAAAGGAAAGGAAGGCTGAAGCCTTAAGCTAGCCTCCTATAAGTATTACGCATTTACAGTGTAGTAAAGAAGAAACCAAACGTATGAGAAAATAAAGTTCAGTAAAGCTTGGGTTTGGAATTCAAGCTCATTAAAATTACTTCTGCACCCACTTCTTCGCATTAACAGGGCAGACGCCAAATCTCTCACCTTGGCACTGAACACAGAGCTGGAGTCCTCTGGTTGAGCACCCTGGGCAGTCCCCTCCTCAGTTGGAGGTACTTCTTCGGTAGGACTAGCCACCTGGATACGGCTGGGGTGCCTGAGGGTTAGTGGCTGAGTAAGCGGAAAGGTGTCCAGCCAGCAGAGGCGGACGTCATAGAACTCCTTGGGCAACTGGATACTGCTATAACGCCTCAAGATTTCCATGGCATCACAGAAGGGACTGGGAAGACAGACAGAGGCACCAGTGTCAGATTTTGCAATGCAAATAAACGTGTGTTTCCTATGCTGCCCTTTCAAAGCATGATCTGAGGTTCTGGCCACAGATCAGGAAAAACCTGAGCTCCCTGGATGCTGATCAAGGAAAACATCACGTTTGCCCATTAATCTGGGAGCAGAATCAATATTAATCTGGGGGCAGAGTGGCCCATTAATCTTAAGAGAGAGTGGCCCACAAGGCCCAAAACAAAGTATTCTCTGTATCTGAAACAAACAACTTTATTGCATTGACTACACATCTGCCTGATAACACAGCCTGGTCCTCTGTCATTTACCAAGAGTCATGCCAAGCTGTAGATTCATTCTCCTGCTTGTGCCCACACAGCCTCACCAAAAGGCCCTTTGGCCTCTTCCTCTCACCTGTTCACAGTGTAGCAAGCCAACCGGAACCGGTACTGGGGTGGTTCATGCCGTGGCTTTTTCACTCCCCATGGCTCACCACCCTTCTGCTTCCGTTTCTTGGAATCAAAGTCATCCCTGAAAGTGGAACAGGCACAATGGCCAATTAATGGTCATAATTCTGCTGCAGAACTGAAATGCTAAGCCTCTTAAGAAGCACCACCATACAGTAATTTAGGAGAGAATGGCAGAAGAGACATCGAAATAGATTACTCAACTCCACACTCCAGGAGGAAGTTATATCAGGCCTCTAATTGTGATCAATCAGATTTTGAGCTACAGATTTCATCACTGATCCCAGTGCTGAGAACAAGAACCGCCGTGCTGCTTCCTAGAGCAGAATGTCTCCTTTTCAAGGTCCAGACAGGTTGGAATGTGTTTAGCTACAGAGGTGTGACAGGCTTTAATCATAAACGATCTAGCAGAAAACTATTAAAAAGTGTATTGCTCTGTAAACTAGGACCGCTCCAAATAGGGCTACAGACCTCTTAATGATGATGCAAACTCTTGAAGAGCAGGAAAAGACTGGAACAATACTGCAGCTGCAACCAAGATCTTTCTACACCACTACAAGTCAGCAGGTTGGATAGACAGCAGCATGCAGAGACAGAAGGGAAAGGCATGTGGCGTATCCTGGCTGAATGTAGTGCAGGGTGCAGCATCAGGATTCCTTTTGTTCAACATGGTGTGCCAGAGGAAACCTAAGGCTCTGAAGGAGCACAGGAGACGGCTTTGGCAAAACAGATTTGTGTGTGTGTGTGTGTGTGTATTTTCCTGGTCTAGACGGTTCAAGTGTGAAATGCTCCTTGAAAAGGCTATTCTTGGGAACATGCACTGTGGGCTCTCAGGAGAAAGGGAAAAGGAGATTTTTTTGCCAGTTCAAGGACACTTGCTGACCTTACCATCTGCCTGAATCCTGTCTGCCCTTTGGGCCCCGACCAGTGTATCTTCCAAGATGACCTAGGTGGAGTGATGGAGATGTCTGGAAGAGGCTCATGGCTGGGGAAGAAAAACACCTGGCGTTATTTCTATCCCTTGGACAATCCGGTCAAGCTTCTAGGCCAGGCCATGAGATTACCTGGGATTGTCATTATCAGGACATCCCGACTCACACATAACCTACATTTCATACTGAAAATGCAGAGTGAACAACATACAAACATAACACAAAAATCAAAATGCCATCCCAAAGCTCCTGCTGGCCCACACTAAGGTAGCTGGCCAAGATTACAGACTTATCTCATGGGCCAAAGTAAGAAGGGGATCACCCCAGATGCTTGCTCCACACCACCAAGATAGGACAGAAACCACCATGACTTTCCCAAATAAACTCACATCTCTACTCCCATCACTGTGCCCCCAAATTCTCTAGATTTCTAGTGCTCTAATATCCTACCATCATGTCACACCCCTGCCTATGCCTCCCCAACACTATATGCATTAACACCTACGTTTCTGGGGAAAGAGAGGTGGGATTCGGTGAGGCTGAAACAGTAATTGGGGCTGAGATCCCAGGATGCCTTGCTTCTGTCCCAAGGAAGTCACATGGAGAAGAGGTGTGGGGGCCTTCAGAAGAGGCTGTGGGATGAAAGGATGTTATCAATCAAGAACTTTTTCCAGAAAGACAAATTTATCTTCCTCTATAAAGTTTTTAAGCCTCAGAGTTCACATAACAGCCACTAGGACATTAAGAGTAATCTTTCTTTAGGGTAGGGAAGTTCCAATTTCCTCCTAATGCCAAATGAGCTGGCAACACAGCAAGTGAAAGAAGGAAAGAGGAAGGGTGGGAAGATAACAATGCTCAAAAGGCAGTCGAATCTGACTCTAGGGGGCGATGCTCATCTCCGTTTTCAATCCGAAGAGCCAGCGCTGTCCAAAGACTTCTCCATGGCCATGTGGCCGGCATGACTAAACGCCGAGGTGTGCAGAACGCTGTTACCTTCCCACCAAAGCGGTACCTATTTATCTACTTGCAATTTCTTGCTTTCAAACTGCTAGGTTGGCAGGAGCTGGGGCTAGAGACGGGAGCTCACTCCGTCACGCTGCACTAGGGTCTCGGAACTGCCGACCTACTGACCTTCCAGTCTGCAGCTCAGCATCTTAACCTCTGAGCCACCACTGCCACATTCAGAAATACAGAAGAACATCTAAATACCAATTGCTGCTTGTAGAGGCATCTTTGCCCACTGTGGGAGACAACATGCTGGGCTAGATGGACTTTGGGCTCTTCTTACTACATCAGAAGAGTACAAATGTATACAGTTTGTAGGATGCAAAACAGCCTAAAGAAAATAATCTGACTGGCTGCATCAGCAGTTCACATGCACCCCGTTACATCAGCAAGAAATACGTAATGTCTGATACCGTCTTCTATTTGGGTCACATCAACAACTATAGGAATGCTGCACTATGAACTGAAGACCTGTCTCTCATCCCAGAATAAACTTATTTGGGGCAGCCAATGTACAATGCATATGAATGATATTTCCTAATGTCCAGTGTCCAAAATTCCAAAAAGGTAAGGAATAATAATGCTGCTTAACCAATACAGTCAATCCATCCGATATTTTGCCGAAGATAATTCAGTGTTATATCTTCCATATGCCAACTTGAATCCTTTACATAGAAGGAAACACTCTTCCTTCTCCATTCAGAAACACTTAACCCCTGTATTACCTGATTTGACAGAGTCTGGACCTTCAAGGCATTCCAAGGCACTGACTGACTTGGGTTGTAGACAGCTTTCACCAACACTTTCTCACCAATCTGTGGCATCCGGCCTTTGACAACACTGGCCCACAACAGAAGACACCAAAACATGTGTGTTAGTTCTGCAGGTGGCATCTCTAGAATCCTTAACTGAAAGTAAAAGCTCAGAATTCAGTCATTCTAGCCCCAGACTTCAGAAATTTAGCAATCTGGTTGTGCTACCAGAAGATAAGAAGCACAAAGAACAGAAGCCAGAGCCTTTTTCCTACAATTCATACCACTTGTCTGCTGCTATCCCCCCCCCCCGCCTCAAGCACTCTGCTCACCTTAGCTGGAAGAAAACTTCATCGTCCACCACTCCAAAATAATCATGGAGGCTGGTAACTATTCCAGTAAAAACTCGCTGCTTCTCTCCCCCCTAAAAAGGAAAGGCACAGAGAAATCGTATATGGTCATAAGGAAAGGTCATACACTGAACAACGCTGCCACAGACCTGTAGCATGCACAGACTGTCCTTAGCCACAGTTAACATACAGAATCTTTATGTACGGTAGAGGTGACCGAGGTACGAGCCATCTAATCCATTCTTTTTGTCAGCTGCTGGATTAATGCAGCAAAATTCTAAACTATTCACTGGGTTTTAGGCTGAAGCCCAAGAAGACACAGCACAACTACCTCACCTTTTTACTCAAACCTTTTAAATTTGTTATTTTTAATGGTTACTTGATGTTTGTATGGTGTATTGGTTTCATTGTTGTTTACTATTTATTTATTTATTTATTATTCAACTGCTACGAAGGCTCATGGCAGCTTACACTCATTAAAACATTGTACATAGTATATAAATAACAATAAAAATCCAGTAAAATCATCATAAAACAATTCAAAATCAGAATAGTACTACTAAGTGCTGTCGATATTTCTCTAATTATACAAACCTTTGGTTCTAGTTTTCTGGGAGAAAGACAAGACCAAGGATGTTTTAAATAAATAAAATTGGATAAATGCTTTGAAGCTCTTTCATCTAGCATACAAGCAGCAGGCCATTTGGTGAGTCCTAGGCAAGACACAGAATACATCTGCATCCTTTTCTGTTTAACAGCTGATCAGTCAGGAGTTTGTGTGCTAACAGTACAGGGGACAAATGTGTTCAAGTAAATAAATAAATATCACTGATAGTAACTGTACTAATAGTTCTGGACTACATTCAAATTCTATTAAAAATGAAGTAATTCAGGGGACATCTTGTTTCCCACCTGGTTTCACTGAATGCTGAGAAGCTATCTTACAGTACTATGGCCCAAAATAGACATTAGTGAATCTAGCAGCTTCCCATGTAGGGTAAAGGAGCAATACTCAGGAACAGTGGCATCTGTTACCACAGGAAGGAAATCACAAGTGAATAAGGTTACATGCTGAACTGGAGCAAACAGTATACATTTGTACACAGAAAAGCCTGATTGACACAACTTCTGCATTTCAACAGGTGTATGTGGCCATAAAACTTGCCATGACAACTCATCAGATATAGATTTAACAAGCCCACTAATATTTAAAACCACCTTTAGAAAAGCATGGAGGGCAAAACAACAACAAAGAAACAGAAAAAAGAGAGGCCTTTGCCATATATTTCAGCTCTGGATTACTTAACTAGTCAGTTTCCCAACTACAACCCTAGGAGATTTCTGTCTTTCCCTGCAGTATACAATTAGACTAGCTTACTTGAACTATGGGCTGGTTGGCATTGCTATGTAATGCAGCTGTCCAAGAAAATGAACATTAACCTAGTCTGCATGAGTTGATCTTCAGATCTACAGAGTGGATGACTCTGTGGCAGGCAAATTAGTTTTGAAGCTGGAAAACCAGCAAAAAGGCCACCAACAATTCTATAACAGATTTCAAGACATGATTCATATGCTGGAACAATTGTGGAAATCCGGGAGCAACTGCGGTCAATTAACTTACACCCAGCTTTCCTCAAGCTCTGGTGCTTGCAATGTACAACTTGGTCAAGGCTGCCTGCATTCTGTCCAGGCTGCACAGATTTAATCTGGGCTCTTAAACACAACATGATTTCTTATGAGTATAAACATTTGCTCTTGTTTTCTTTCCTAGAACAGCAAATATCTAACTTCCACCTTCATTACTGCAAACAGAAATGTGCCAATTGAACTGTTAAAAAGGACACATTACACTAAGCTGTGTGCTGAATTTGGAGGTTTGGAAGGAAAGGCAGTGGAGGGCAGCATGTGCACCCACACACAGATTTGCTCACTTTGAATGCCTGGTACACATCTTTGCAGCTCCTCCTCCACTGACTTTGAGCCAAATTGGCACCATGTGCGCAAGCTCTGGTTTCATCTGATATAGAAGGAATTCAAAGCCACCTGCCTGAGGCATCAGGAAAGCCACACAGAAAGTCTTCATCTGTCCTCTAGCCAAGATTCAGTGAAAGAGATGACAAGGGGGATCTGCAGTTCTGCTTCTAAACCATGTGGCTCGGCATAATTTCAAAAAAGTAGTGGCCAGAACCACCTCAGCACTTGAATAACACACATAGTGTTCTCAAGTGGAGGCAGACACCTAAACTGTTCTTGCCAGGGAATAAAAAGGTATCAGAATTTCACCCTCCAGCAACTCAAATACTCACAAGAGAAAGTCAATCCTCTCCGACATACCTGAAGATGCCGTGTTGCCTGGATAATATCTGCTGATATAGGAGGATTTAATAGGCCAGGTGCAGGACCTAGTAAAGAGGTGGGTTGTGTTCCTAGTAAAAAGGAGTACACAATTTTAATCTCTAGGATGCTCTAGAGAGATCATTGAACATACTGGAGAAAAGAAGGAGGAAAATATGTTAATTCTGTACTTTTAGAAAGTTGGTTGAGGTGTTTTGAGGAACTTAAGGTAAAAAAAAACCAGGATACAAATCCAATGAATGAACAAATTAATGGATAAAGACAAGTGTATTAATTAGAGCGAAACTGCATTTGGCATCAATTTCTATAGCATCTATTATACAGCAACAAGACAAGTTTCTTATTACTCAGACAAAGGTTGGGCAAAAAGATACTCAGCAAGTCTGTACCTTAGGGTTGCCAGATCCAGGTTGGGAAACTCTTGGAGGTTCAGGAATGGAGCCTGGGGAGGGCAGGGACATCAGTGGGGTACAATGCCAGAGGGTTCAGCCTTGAAATCATCCATTTTCTATAGGGGAAGAGATCTCTGTAGTCTAGAGATGAGCTGTAATTCCAGGGGACCTCCGGGTCCCACCGGGAGACTGGCACCCCTACTGTACATAGAACTGAACTAAGATCCATATATCCGATGTGCTTTCCAAAGTACCCCAAATTAACTCATGCTGGCAAGCAAGACAGAAGCCACATTCACCAAGTGTCTTCAGCTTGGAAATACACTTTAAGTCCTTTAATGCTTTTGAACTCCTCTACTGGCCACAATGAGAAGGGATAGAAGAAGAGTAGAGACTTCTCTTTAAAAAGAAGGAATATCCAAGCTCTCTTACACTACCTGCATGTCACAGAACACCAAACAGCAAAACAAAATCCAGTAATCTAAAGAAACAACATTACCAAGTGAGATGGAGGAAATGGAGGAGCTAAACATAGAAGAGCACCTCCCCTGACTTACAGGAACAGCAGAAGTAAGTATTTTTACTTATGTACATGACACACCTGTGAATGATCTGGATCCCTGATGACTGCCGATTCTCAGCTGCTTCTGGCGCTTGAACTGGGCCATTTGGAAAAGCTGAATCTACTTTCTATAACAACATAAAAAAAAATATGTCACAGTTAAAGAGATGCCACACCGGAAAGCCGTCACAAGAAAATACCTTCATCTGTCAAGAACCACACTGACAAACGAGCCATGCTCCACTAGTGTACTTATTAAGTAGCCACAAAACCTGCTGCAAAACGGGTCACAGTTCCTTAGTATTTCATCAACTGCTCTAAATTTCACAGCTAAGGGGCATAAGGTATGCAGAGGCAGATGCTGTATTCCTGTTGAGAAATCTTTGGCTAGAACAGAAACAACAGGAACTACTAGGATCTTTGAGGAGGGAAGAATTACAAGCAGCCCAGCATCACCAGACAGCTTGGAGAATAATAGCTTGCAAGTGGCAAACCCCAAGGTTATTATTTTTTAAAAAGTTATCCAAAGCAAGGCTGTGGGAAGCGTATTTAAACCATACATTTTAAACCCCGTGTACTGTAGTAACAACTGTGCTGGAACAGGGAGACCCAGGGCCAGGCTCAGTTCTCCACCAGCCAGGATGACATTCAGCTAGATGCGCTCTCCCACCCTCACATGACACACAGGGTTGTCGTGAAGATAAAGGAAGAGAAGAAACATATCTGCTGGGGTGATGGATAGATAGATAAAGGGTTACCAATGATACGGACAGAAACCGTGTCAGGAGGATACGAAGGCGGGATGGGCCAGGGGACACTGAGGGGCTTCTCTCTCCCTCCCAGGGAGCCAAAGAAGCCCATGTTGGTCGTTTACGAGTGCAGTGGGGTGGAACTGACAGTGGCTTCGTCTGAGAGAAAAGCGGCCATTTTGCTGATCAAAGTACCGCAGGGGGGGAAATACTTACAGGCCTACCGTGTGGACTTGGCTTCTAATACCCACCTGCGGTTTGGATACATTCTTCTTGAGTTTATTGAGTGTCTTGCGGTTGTAAGGTTCACCACCCGGGCGCAACTTGACTGTGGTGTCGCACGTTTCGGCATGAAGTTGAGGGAACGTATGGAGTGCCTCCTGGACAGAAGACAAGGCAGTGACCAAGAGGATGTAGTTTTCACATTAACAGATCAAAAATCTGTGACCCCCACACTTGGGTCCCATTGGGATATGGCAAGGTCTGGCATTCAAATAAATAAAAAGAATGAAGATTTTGAGCGGGGGGGGCACCATTGAAGAGTGGAGGAAGGTACAGCCGCACAGCAAGTTGGGAAAAGCCCAGAGATGGTGGATCACAACTAGGTGGTGACCAACTTGGGGTGGGGGGGGGAGGGGGAAGATGACTTTGCTAATCAGAACATCACTGCCAGACCCTACTGGGTAAGGGACACAGGCAGGGGGGCTACCAAGCTTCAACTAAAATACCTGAAAATCACATACAGATTCCCTCCTCCTTGAGAGCCACGGCATGGAGGATCAAACTATAGGCAGCTCATAAGATATCTGAAGGACTGTTTAGTCTGATAAGAACATAAGAGACGCCAATGTTGGATCAGGCCAAAGGCCCATCCAGTCCAACACTCTGTGTCACACAGTGGCCAGAAATACCAGTGCCATCAGGAGGTCCACCAGTGGGGCCATCATTTCTGTCACTGGGGCACACGTTTTCCGGCACACCCTGGAAACGAAGGACCATATTAGCCTTATCCATTTGTACTTGCAGCCATTTATCTTCCATTGAAGTTTGCTTTAATTCCAGCTTTTGGACTTTCTTCTTCACTTTTTCAGTTGTTGCAGCCACCTCCTTAATTTTCTCATTGTCTTGCCTCATTATCTGTATCATGTCATTCATCTGGGTCTGCTGTGCTGTTATCTCGGTTTGCTGCACTGTCAGGTTTTTGGTTACCTCCGACATTTGTTCTTTGAAGTTCAACTGTTCCAGCAGAGGGCGCATACACTCCGCTACAGTCTTTGCCAGCTCGTCCATCACTTCCGGTTTAGGACTCTCCAGTCCTTTTACTGTTGGAATCAGCTTGTCTTTGTCCCTCTTGCCCACCATCTTTGCCGTTTGTTTACTCTCCGCAAAAGTTTTTTAAAAGTCTCTGAAATGCGCTCGACCGCTTCACTACCTTGGTGAGTATATCTAAACAGTTTTTGCCGCGTCTCTGCTCGCTCCCCCCCCTTTTGTTTAAAAGTTCATGCGCATGGGAGGCGTCCCCCCCTGCTCGCTTTTTTCGTTCCGCAAAGTGGGGTGGGGAGCGTCTTTTCTTTTAAAATTCATTTCTCGGTTGACTCACGTTCATAGTTGGTCATCAGACCACTCTCTCAGCACGAAGAACCACTGGAGTGGAGGGGAGCCTCAATTCTCTGGCATTCCGCCATCGAAGAGGCTACCCCTCTAAAGCTCCTTGGCCAGGGCCCCTTCCCCGCCCCCCTGGAGGGATTCACGAGCCTGCTTGCCCCCGTCTTCAGCCAGAGTGTGGATACCCCCTCGGGAGGTCTGGGAGGAGAGTCCGCAGTCATGCAGCCATCTACCGGAAGTCGTTGCACTGTGATTTCTGTGGTGCAGGATGTGGTCATGGACATGATATGGGATTTAATGGTATGTTTGGGGTGTCCCAACACAAAAAACCCAAACATCCATGAGGATCCGTGCTTCAGAATCATGTTTTTGCAGAATGGATTCACCACAAAGCCGTGGATCAGTGATTTTTTTGGTGCAAGCTGTGGCTATGGACATGTTATGTGATTTGATGGTGTGTTTCAGGTTACTCAATTGAAAAACCCTGAGGAGCCACGAGGATCCATGCTTTGGAACCATGTTTTTGCTGTTTTGTGGTGCCACAAATTCCTTGGGGCATGATTTTTTGAGTGCTACCTATAGTCTAAGACATGGTCTACAGTATGATGTTGGTTTTATTTCCTTTCAACGTAAAAATCATATGAATTCGTGAGGGTTCGTGCTTTGGAATCATGTTTTCGCGCTGTTGTGGTGCCATGAATCTGTGGATGCGTGATTTTTGTGGTGCCCCTTGTAGACTAACACATGACCTACAATATGATGGTGGTTTTATTTCGTTTCAATGTAAAAATCATATGAAATTCATGAGGATCCATTTAGATCCGACTTTTACCCAAACCCCCTTTTATTTATTTATTGGCCATCAAGTTGCAGCCGATTTATGGGGACCCCAAAGACGATTCAGAAGCAGCAACCCTGGACTTCCTTGGTGGTCTCTCATCCAAATACTAAGCAGGGCTGACCCTTGCTTAGGTTCTGAGATCTGATGAGATCCCACTCACCTGAACTATCAAAGAACACCAAGAAAGACTACCCGTTTTAACTGATGGATTGAACCTGGGACCTTCAGCATGTAAAACAGGTGTTTTACCACTGAGCCATGGCCCCACCCTGAAATAAATATCATTTAGAATCTCCTTAGGTCTTTAGTGGGAAGAGTGTCACATGTCCACATGTAGGTGGTTGGATGGAGTTGGGGTTGCCCTAAGTCATCTATACCAGCCCTTGCCCCCCATGGGATAGAGCATCTTGCTTGCATGCAGAAGCAATCCTCAAGAACTCCACCTTGAGCCAAAAGGAAAGGTGGGGTATATTTTAGCAAATAAATACATCTCCTGGTAAAAGGATTTCAGGCAGTACTGCAGGGAAAGATCTCCGTGACCCTGGAGAGCACTAGTCCTTCAGCATAAACAGTGATGAGCTGGATAACTTCTAAACAGGATTGGTCCTAAATCAATGGATTTAGAACGGTGTACGTCTGTTTAGGATAGCCCTGCAATTGTCTGTCATAGTATTAGGTTGTTTCCTAAGTACGTTTACCAACCTCCGGTAGGGCCTGGAACTCTCCCATATACAGAGGTCAGTTCCTTTGGAGAAAATGGTGGCTTTGGAGGGTGGAGTCTGATACCATGTCCGGTATCATGCCCCTGATAAGCTCCCTCCTTTCCCAGACTCCACTCCCCAAATCTTCAGGTTGGCACCTCTATTCCTAAATGCACACACTAGGGTTCCCATAAACCACTCTCAGCCCTAGTCCTATATTCAATCTGTAACATGGAGATAATTCTAGAGACTACCTGCGTAAATTTCTTGCAGCCTCAGCAGGTCACCCCACACTGCACCCTGGTGATACCAACAAGGTTCTCATAGTATCATCCGCCCTGAGTCTCAGCAAGAAAAGTAGGCTATAAAGTAAATGCCATCAAGAAGCCACTTCCACCAGCAGCACCCTGCAAGGCAAGAGAACACTGATGTAAACCACTTACCTAATGCACTATGGATCAAGATGGGTAGCCATGTTAGTCTGTCTGTAGCAGTAGAAAAGAGCAGGAGTCCAGTAGCACCTTAAAGACTAACAAAATATGTGGCAGGGGATGAGCTTTCGTGAGTCACTGCTGACTTCTTCAGATACAACTAGAATGGGAATCTATCCGTCCTATTTATTGGAAAATGGAGTGATTTCAGATAGCAGGTGAAATTGACAACAGCAGGCATGGTTGGATTTAGGTGAGATATGCAGAGAGGTAATAGAGCTGCGGTGGCTCAAGTGGTTAAGACGCTGAACTACAGGCTGTGGAAGGTCAGTAGTTTAGCGGTTCAAGACCCGGGTGCCGCAAGACAGGGTGAGCTCCTGTCTCTAGTTCCAGCTCCTGCCAATCAAGCAGTTCGAAAGCAATAAATTGCAAGTAGATAAATAGGGACCACTTCGGTGGGAAGGTAACAGCGTTCCGTGCGCCTTGGTGTTTAGTCATGCCGGCCACATGACCACGGAAACGTCTCCGGACAGCACTGGCTCTTCGGCTTTGAAACGGAAATGAGCACCGCAACCCTAGAGTCAGATTCGACTGGCTTTCGAGCAAGGGAACCTTTACCTTTAATAGGCATGGAGAAATCAGCATTGGTAATGAGACAGGAAACCTAGGTCCTCGATTCAGTCCAGGTGGATGCCTTGTCTTGAGCTTCATCATCAGTTGCAATTCAGCAGTCTTTCTTTCGAATCACTCTTTGAAATTCCCTTGTAAGGGAACTGGTTCTTTTAGGTAAGCAGCTGAATGTCCTGAAAGGTTAAAATGTTCTCCCACTGGTTTTTTAATACTGTGGTTCCTAATGTCAGCCTTACGTCAATTAATTCTTTGTTGAAGGGACTGTCCTGTTTGTCCAGTGCAGAGGGTGGAAGGGCATTGTTGACGTGTGATGGCATAAATCACATCAGAGGATGAGCAGGAATATTAACCTGAGATGGTATGGCTGATGTTGCTGAGTCCACTGATGGTGTTGCTAGGATCTATATGAGATCTATGAGAGTAGAACAATCAGTGGTCCCAGCGATGGGGAGTTGACTTGGAACACCCGTTTCACTCCTAGTTTCCTCAAGGTCGTGACTCCAGTATACAACTATTCAGATGTAAATACAAAATTCCAAGAAGTTCTCTCATCTGTCGGCATTCACCTTCAAGTTTTGTTGTTAACATTACAAACACTGAATGGTTGATGGAATATGAATTTTTGAAAATGATACCCAAATTGTCTGAAGGATATTACTCACTGAAATTGTGAGGAAGTTATTTTCCTTTGAGACTTTTCCAGTATGTATCAGCATACCTTTGGATTGGGACAGTAATGATTATGTGACTTTATAAAAGCTTATTTTGTGCATGAATTGTTCAGATTTGAAATTTGAGCATAATTGAAACAACATCAGTAATTGGTCACAACTGCTTTTGCTTCTTTGATGTTATACTTTTTTTTCGTGACTTTCTCTTGTGTTACATATAAGGATCTATATGAGAGCAGAAGACTGAACATTATGCCAAGTTGCCAACTTTTATATTCCACTTTTCTCCCCGATGTGAACCCAAAGAGGCTTACATCATCATTCTGCCTTCTCCCATTTTATTCTCACAACCACCAACCAGCAGGGCAGGTTAGGTTAGGCTGAAAGAACCTGACAAGGTCACCCAATAATTCATCTCTGGGACAAACTAGGCACACTGAACACATGGTTTTTGTTCAGTGTAAAGCATGTGTGTTTTACCAACAACAGAGCAAGTGAGGAAAGCTAAATTCTTGTGATTATTAGCAACTTCCACCCAGTCATTGTGCAAGTGAAGAGGTTGTATCTCATTCACCAATAGCATGCCAAAATAAATACATTATTGATTAGTAAATGAATGAGCCCCCCCCCCCAATTCCACCCTCAGAAGTGCTGCTTGCCCCATTTCTGCACAATTAGCTGCTCCAGCATTGCCACATTCCAGTCAACCTGCACTCAGAGTATGTAATCCTACCCTGGACATTCATCCACTCTAGGAACAGATGCAGCAAAGTCATCTCGGAAGCAGCAAATCAAGAACAGTGACTCACATGGAACCACAGATGGAGACTTTCTCTAAGAGCAGGTAGCTGTAGTTCTGACACACTCCGGGTATGGGGCGGGAGGTGATCTTTATAGGTTGAAAGGGTGATATTTAAGCTCACAAAAGTGTGTTTTAGGCAACATCTTCAGGAAATGCTGTTGTAGAGACCCGAAACATCTGCCTGTGAAAAGTTGGACTCTAACTCTAAAACTTGAAGCCTGCTTTGCGCGGTCGGCGGGGTATAAATCTGACAATAAATAACTCAGCACACTGGGTGACCTCAGCAAAGCAAGTATGACGCTTTCTTACCCGCCACTGCTCCTATGCTAGGTATGCCGCTGTTCTTCAAGGACCTCCTGGTGCCAGTTGCTGAATACCGACTGAAAATATGGCTCTATGGTGACCAACCAGTATAGCCTGGAATGCCTAGAGTGTGGCCCTAGGAAGATGGATCACTGGAACACCAGCAGATGGCCCTATGTAGTCTTCCCTAAATACACTGCTTGATGTATACATTCCTCTCCCTTCTGATAGCTGCCACTGTGCAGCCAACTACACATGGGGATAATTTTCATCTCCCTTCAGTATTTTATAAGCTATCCTGCGGCATTTCATGACAGAAGGCAAGATGGAAAGCTGTTAGTTAAAAAAAAAATCAATCTTGCCTACAAAAGATGCAGTTGCTAAATGTCTGCATTTAAAGGCACAGAAGCAGGATACCTTATGTGTTAAATCTCTAGTTAATACTTTAAATTACATCAGTTGTTTTCTCCTTATGCATGTACCACCTAGGCCTCACATAGGAGGCTGCAGCATTGATTGTCATGGCCAAGACATCCCTTCATTTTCGTTTTTGTAAGAATAAGATCAAACCAGTAGAAACGCCGAATGGGAAGTATTCAGTAAAAAAGTTATTGGCTCACACAAAAATCCAGAGCAGGAAACAGAATCCACGCAAAACCTTTTAACAGGCCAACCTGCCACCAAACACTTCTGTTTGTTCTCAGCCTGCGGGGAGCTGTGCTTCTCCCATCAGTTTAACTGACATTTGGACCTTACTGGGTTGTATTGTTTCTAATGAGATGACCCTCCATTGACCCTCTTCCTCCCAAAATGCAAGTGCTGTACGCGAACAGCAACAGCACTAGAGATGTGAAGGCCCGGAAAAAAACAGTTTTTTTCCGTTTTTTTTCCTGAAGCCTTTTTTTTTTTTTCCAAAAAATTGGAAACATTGAAAAAAGGAAAGAAAAGGGGAAAAAATTTATTATGGAACGTTTTATTTTAACGTGATGAATAAAATATTTTAAGACAAGGTGTTCAAATATTTTCCAAATCATTTCCTATATATATATATGGTATCAGATTGATCTAATTTCTGTGCACTGAGGACAAGCAAGTCCTAGGTTACAAACTGCACTCTCCAATGCAAGAACAAGATGCATTTCTTCCTTTAGGAGGTGCTATTGGAGAAAAAGGTTTCAGTTTTGTTTTTGCATGTGGGCGGGTATTCTGTTTGTAATAACTGTTTGGATACACTATATTTTTAATATGCTAGTTGTGATAATTTCATGCCAAGTAAAAATGTCCATAGTCATATTTTATGTTCCTAAAGTAACAGAATGACTTTCAATCTAGAAAAGACAAAAGAAGTGCTAATGTAGCATTTTTTTCAATTTTTCCGGAAATTTTACATCTCTAAACAGCACTTAAACTGTTGGGGCTGCCAGCCATCTAACACCAAAGGCTGGCAAGGCACGATCTTATAGAACAGTAGCCGGGCCTTCTGACACACTTCCGGTGATGTCAGGGGGTGTGGCCTTCTGTCACTTCCGGTGATGTCAGGGGGCGTGGCATATGCAAATAAGTTATGCTAATGAGTTATGCTAATGAGCTCCGGCAGCTCTTTTTCTACAACAAGACCCCTGATTAAAACATAATCCTGGCAAGAAAAGAAATAATTTAAAAAGAACTCTCCCATGGGGCTGCTACCATTGCAAAGTGGCTATGTGGTGCTATTCAGGTAATCAGCCAGTAGGAACAAAACTTTGTATGTGAGAAAAATCCCACAAGCTTTTGCTTCAACGTCGATCATGTTCCAATCCAGTCTTATTGTGACTGGCCGTGAAAACCTAAGCAGAGTTGTACCATTCTCAAAGCCTTTACTTCAATGGATTCTGAAGGTTGTAACTCTGTTTAGGATTTCACTGTTAATGGAGAACTTGACAAAACAAACACCAGATGTCCACAGTAAGCCTCTTGTTTGTGGCGGATGGGAGACATGCTTTGATCTGGCAAGCAACATCTGAAGCTGCCCCCCCCCCAGAGGTAACTCCAGCAGTCCAGCATTGTTTATTGTACATCAAAAAGGAAGGAGGTAGCAGGAAGAGGATGATCAAACATCATCAAATGTAAGTAGCCTTGCCTGAGCTCCATCCCAGAATGTGTTTACACAGGAGTCTGTTGCCAAGCCCAGATAAAGTGCAGATCACAAGCATTGGCACAGAACCACTGCCTTTGTGGAGAATTTCAGCATTCCTCTTTGGGAGATCTTCAAATTCATTCTAGTGGGGATTCACCCACTGCATCTGAAGAAGCAGGCTTTAGTTCACAAATGCCTGCGCCAACATAAAATGGTTAGTTTTTAAGGTGCCACAAGATCCCAGTTAATTTTAGCTGCAACAGTCCCTCTTAACACAACCCCAGAGGGATAGCTATGCCATGAAGTTAACCATGCACCAGGCAGTGACTCATCATGCACTCAGTCTCTGGTGGAATATTTCTGAACCAGGGGAATGCTCCCCACAACTTGCATCAATACTACCAATATGGCTGGCAGAAGGGCTAGGGTAAGCAACTCCAATGAGCTAATTTTGTTATGTACAGGGTAAGTTTTCAGAAATGTAACCTCTTCCTGCAAGCCTCCAGTCTAGGAAAAGCTTTATCATTTCAAGCCAGCTTCTTGCCACCATTATTTGCAAACCAGGATGTTAAAAAAAAAAGAAGTCTCTAAATTTTATTTTCATTTTAGATACTTTGAAAATACAGCAACTGCCTGGTATATACACAATACATGTGATCATTAGGTCATAAATATACAGAACTCACATGGTTACATACACAAAGAAAAGATCAGGACTGTCAATCGCCTGTTTAACAAGAAAAAGAAATATGATGGGCACAACCAATAAGTTATTTCACATTCTGCAACATAGGGATTTCCTGGTGGAGAGGAAGAAAGAGGGGGAGTTATCTCATTTCCCCTCTGAGCTGCTTGCCTGTGTACAGCTCACATAAAAGCCTTATATGTTCACAGCCCTACAAGTCAATAAGAAAGCAGCATCAAATCTCAGTGTAACATGATAATGGGAAAGGTACAAAACCCATACAGTACAGAAAATGCCAAGTGAATGGTGTGGGGGGGGGGTATGGACCAGACCTAATACTAGGTTGAGGACCAGCCTCAGAGTAGCCTGTCCCAAAGCACAGAGGGGAAAAGAGTGGAATTGGTTTGTTCTAATACTAAGGGCCAAACTACGCAAGACATTTCACAAGCTGCGTCGATTCCTCTCTTGGAACTGCACGTGCAGATGCAAGGGGGGGGGGGGATAACTCCCCTCTGCCATCATTGTGACTCCGGAAAATAGCAGGGGGGAAGGCAGGAGCCCTTCTTCCCTCTCCCACTGTGTCTCCAAGCCAAATTGGGCCCTGCAATTTTATATGGATGTTCCCCACAGCTGCTGTCTAGCTGAAGAGTCAGGTCTGGGAAATCTGGACCCAACTCGGTAAAACTTTCTCATGTAGTCTGGCCCAAAGACTCAGTGCTGACGTAGTGCTGGCTCCCTCGCTAACTGGTATACGAGTTGGGAGCAAATTTCATATTCATGTTGTTTGCATTGTTATATATCGAAAGTAGATTCCTGCATTCCCAGGCTTTGCAAACCCATTTAACCCATGGTTTTTGTTGACCAGGATTTTCATAGGTACAATGACTGATGGAAAGGAAGAGTGGAAATTGTTCTTGATAGAGGAAGGAGGAACACAGAGAGCCCACTTCTGATATAGTTTGTAGGGAACCAGTGTTTCTCCTGCACTAGGCCAAAGAGAATCTTCTTGTACCATGGGACATGTGAACTCTTTTTGGCTCCTGCCAAGGAAAGACTGCCGAGTCCAAGCCTATCCATCTATAATCTCAGAAGGTAGGGCTCTCATTTCTGAATTCTTATTAGCAAGACACTCTCCACATTTCTGTCTTGCTGCAGGGGATTTACGTTCAACAGGAGGAGGAAAGGTTCCTCAGCTGGGGCTCATAACGTTGCGTATCTGCTTGGTCTCACCGCATGGGAAGGTGTTTTGATTGGCGTTTCTTTGCCCCGAGAGTAGGCAGAAAACGCCTCCTGGGCTGAAGTTCCTGTTTGTCCGATACATCATCCGCTCTGTAAGGGAAGTTAGAAAGGGGAATCAGATTGGAGACTTCTCATGGAAGGAAGCCCCAATGGGGCCTTTGGGAAAAAAACCATTTCAACATCCGTTTCATTTTTATCACATACTTCCTCTGAGAAGCTTGGGATGGCATACATGGTGCTCCCTTTCCCATTTTATTCTCAAACTCCAGGCATTATAGTGCATGGACACTCTCTGATGGATTCACATCCATGCTGCCATACAGTTATTAGCAGAGTTTCTTCCCCTTCATCTGGGGAAGCAGTAAAACCAAGTTCCTTCCAAATCATTATAAAAGAGTTATAGCCTGGACAAGATCACAGCAAGGTTCGGGCCTCAGTGGAGGAACACAGGTTTGGTTGCAATCCAGACCATAGATCCATCAATCTGTTCCTTTCCCAGATTTTTGGCTCACCCCCTCCTACTGCAGTAAGCAGGACTGTGTGTGTCACACAGCAAAAGGGAAACAGCAAGAGAACCAGAGCTGCCTTGTTACTTGCTTCAACAGCTGCTTTTAAAAAGGTAATATAAAGGTGAAACCCTTACAACCATGGAGCAGCAAAAAAGAATTCTCAGGGGGGAAAGGGGGGGTGGAATTAGAGTTTGTCCCATAATCTTCCATCAGTATCAATCACTATGGTGGGAGGGGGGAGAGAGACATACATATTACAGCAATTGGGAAAACTTTAAAGTTTGCGTTCTGCCTCTTGAGCCAACCACAGTCTACCAACAAAAACAGGCTGCAAGGAACCAGGAAAGACTCTATCTTCTCCCTGTCAGCTTCACAGCACAGTTCTGGCAAGACCCCCAAGGCCACCTCCCAGAAGAGCCTTACCTAGACCGTCTGCTGCTGGGGGCAGCCTCGCCGAATGGGATCTGCTCATTGGCCCGCACAGACTTTCTTTTAATTCTGTTTATCAGCACTTTGACTTTGCCCCAGTGTGAGTGTTCATTCTGAAAGAGAGACAAGAGCGATGAAGAGAAAGGAAGGCAACAGGTAGGCAAACAATGGCAGAGCGCCATGGCTGGCAATTTCAGCACTTGCAAAGGACATCTGCCAGTGGAAGAGCACATACTTTGCATGCAGATGATCCTGTGTTCAATCCCAGGTAACAGAAACTGGGAAAGATCTTTCTCTGCCTAAGACTCTGGAGAACATCTGCCTGCCAGAACACACAATATTCATTCCTTTTGCTCAAGGCCAGTAATACTCACTCAGTGGCTCAAAAACCACATGCAGCTCTCTGACATGCCACTTGTGGCTCTTCTGAGCACTATTCCCCAAGGAATGTGGGAAAGGCCAGTAGGGCTTGTGGTGAGCAAGTGGGTTTTGCACCATAAAACAGCTGCCACCAGAAGGACTGAGGGGCTGTGGCTTAGAGGAAGAGCCTTTGCTTTGCATGCAAAAAGGTCCCAGGTTCAATCTCCGGCATCTCCTATTAATACAGACTAGGCAGTAGGTGATGAAAAAGACCTCTGCTTGAGACCCTGGAGATCTGCTGCCAGTCTGCGTAGACAATCTGATCTTGATGGACCAAGGGTCGGATTCAGTATAAAGCAGCTTCAAGGACTGGCGTTGGCTGTGGGCCAGGGATGAATGTAAAGGGCCCATCCTCTCTTACAACCCCCTGCCCTTCTTCTCAGACTCTCTTTGTCCTCATCCCAGCACCCGGGTGGCTGGCAGGGTAAAACCACCATCATGAGGAAAAGAGCCACAACAGGGATGCTGAAGATTTCACTCCCTTTCTCCACAGCCAGCTTGCTCTCATCCAGGCACCTCGGCAATCCCACTCTCTCATCTGAGCTAGTGCTGAGGAGAAAGAGAGAAGGCAGAGAGGGAAGCCTTACTCAGATACACATTGGCTGGCGAAGGGTCAGCAGCAACACAGAGAGATAGCCCTACATGCTCAGAGGTACTTGAGTAATTTAAAAGGTTTTAGTCATATATTTTATTTGAATTGTTTTATGTGCATGTTTGGGGACAGTGCGTGTGGCATACAGCAGTTACGTGGCACTTTCGGTTGGTGGTAAATATCAATGTGGTTGTCTCTGAACAGCAGAGTGAGTACCACAGGTCTAAGCATTTCTACTAACAGTTGGATCCATAGAGCTGTAAAAATAAGAGACTAGAACACTGCAAAGGGGAAACTTCTGGCACCCCATCAGCTGTAATATTCTGTAGATGCAGGCAGAGACAGTGACTGCTCTGGGACCAGGTTCCCTTAGATTAGCTCAAAGAAAGGAGGAACAAACAGACAAGCCCCAAGCTATCAGGTAAGACTTTGCAGAAGGGAATCCCCCCCTCTCATGCCATGGAAGATACACATAACCGTCTCCTCTCCAGATGCTTTCTGTATGACAAACACACAGCCCCAAGGAAGATTTTCTCTCTCTTCAGAATCTAACCATTTGGGCTTTTTTTTTTTAACATCAGTCCTGAAATAAAAACTTACATTGCTTGTCTCTTTTCTACCCCTTCAGTGGAGGTTTCTGTACTATTTATTGCCAAAACAATAGCAAGCAGCAGACACAGCTTCTCCAGCTACAATGCTACAGGCACGGGAGTCTTCCACCCAGGTTGTCTGCTCCAAGTTTGGTGATTCTGGGAAACATTGTGGTGCGATTTGTGCAGCTCCAGGGGTTTCCTCAGGTTTTCTCCAATCTTTCGCAAAGCCTACTTTGCCGTGAAGTTTAGGGAAACATTGCGTTGAAGCCTCAATTAATTTTTTTTAAAGTATGCCTTTCGCTCCTTCCCCTGCAGATATGTAAGGGGAAAGGCGTATCTCTGCAAGAGAAGGCACTAGAGACATGGTTTAAAAAAACTGATGTTGTGAATTCAAAGAACTTGCTACACCTTTTACTGCTGATTATTTTTTTTAATTGCAAAAGTCCTGATGGCCCGGGGGTGGGGGTGACTGCTCCTGAGGGACTGGGGCAGGGAAACCAGCCATGTGGAAGCCCCATTGCTGTTGACTTTATCTGTAGCCGCAACAGCAATGAGGGAACCACAAAATCCCATTCCTGTGTGGAGGACATCATGGACACTCTCCTTGCATAGCATTTCCAGGGAGAAGTTCAACAGGCCTCCCACATTATGGGAGATGCTTATCAAGATCTTATGCCATGAAACTAAGACCTATCGGGCTCCACCCCCACCCCCCATCCTTTGCTTCCTGCTTGCTTAAAGAACAGGTGGCATTAAAAAAAAGACTGGATGACAAGAGCAGGCAGACACAATCAAGATCTTATGCCATGAAACTAAGACCCAGGGGGCTCCACCACCCCCTCTATCTTTTGCTTACTGCTTGTTTAAAGAACAGGTGGCATTAAAAAAAAAAGACTGGATGACAAAAGCAGGCAGACACGTGGTCTTGTGTCTGAACCTCAAAGCCAATTTGCAATATTAGAAAGGCGGGCTTTTTAAAGTTATGTGCTCAGAATAACATTATCAAGGCCACAGGGAAAGCTGTGATAGGGAGCATGCAAAATGGGATTTAGGACTTGAATTAAACACTGTTTAAATCACTGGTATACACGGTCATGATGAGTTATTCTGCCTTTTCAACGGCTTCTTTAAAATTTATGTCCTACTTTTCTTCCTAACTGGTAACCAAAGCAGCTTATCATCTCTCTCTCCCCTCCGCCACTTTATGCCCACAACAAAACCCAGTGAGGTAGGTAAGGCTGAGGGGTTGTGATAGGTGTCACCCAGCAAACTTCCATGGCAGAGCAGGGATTTGAACCCAGCTGTGCCGGGTTCTACTCCAACACTCTAACCACTAGGCAACACGGGCTCTGATGGAAAAGTCACAAAGTATGAGGAAGGCTCCTTAGGCTAGTGGAATTCCATTCATTCTAAGGTTGGATCCACACCAGAGAGTGGCAGCTTTTCCAAGTTACCATGGGATATAAAGGATGTGGAATGTTGTTCTCACTTTCTCCATCTCAAAATGAATACTGGAGAAGATAAAACATGGGAAATCAATGATCACAGGAGAAGAGCGCCTTCTTACAACGTTGGAGAGCTTGGGCCTTTTTGAAAGTTTAAAAAACCCTGGGTGGGGAAGAATATGATAGAGGCTTATAAAATTATGCATGGTGTAAAGAATACAGAGAGAATTCTTTCCAAAATACGAAACCTCAAGGGCACCCCATGAAGGTCATGAGCAGCATATTTGGGAGAGACAATTTTTCAAAGAAAGTCACTTCAAAAATGCATAGTTAACTTGCGCACAAGTTATAGAAGAGATTGGATTTATACCCCGTCCTTGACTCGGAGTCTTAGAGAGGCTTACAAACTCCTTTCCTTTCAGCTCCCTACAACAGACACCCTGTGAGGTAGGTGGGGCTGAGAGAGCTCTTTCAAGAACTGCTCTTTCAAGAACAGCTCTGACAGAACTATGGTTTGCCCAAGGTTATCCAGGAGCTGCAAGTGGAGAAGTGGGGAATCAAACCCAGTTCTCCCAGATTAGAGTCCATGTATTTAACCACTACACCAAACTGGTGACTGGCCATTAGCCTTATTGGCGTTAAAAGGTTAAACTCACAGAGGATAAGTGCACCAGAGGCTCTTGGCCAGGACAAATTCAGAGGCACCAGTTGCTGGGAAACAACAACAGAGGCGGCTTGGGCTAACCCAGGGCACCCAAAGAAGGCAAGACACAGAGGCCAGTATGTAGGGTTGCCAGCTCCAGGTTGGGAAATACCTGGAGATTTTGGGGGTGGAGTTTGGGAAGGGGAGAGACTTCTGCAGAGTGTAAGGCCATACAGTCCACCTTCCAAGGTAGCCATTTTCTCCAAGTGAACTGATCTCTGCCACCTGGAGATCAACTGTAATCCCAGGAAATCTCCAGCCCCCACCTAAAAGTTGGCAGCCCTACCAATGTGGGAAATAGGATTCAGAACTAGATGGACCGTTATCGGTCAGATCCAGTTTGGGTCTTATAGTCTTACAGCGCAATCATGTTCTCGATAAGGCATTAACCATGTGTGTTCAAGCTCAATTCAAACCCACCCCATGGAAAAAGAAAAAAAAATGCTCCTGAGTTGTAAACACAGGCAGGACATCTAGAAATAACGGTTGAATAGTTCACCTTGAGCTTCATGCCTGGCGGCAAAGTACAGGAGCCTCCGTCTTGTTGATCCAACAAGCTGGGCGAGCTGGAGAAGTATGCTGCAGTCTTCCCAGACCTGTCAGGTCTGCTCTCTGTGGTGGGAGAGAAGAGGTAATTCGACACAATTGGGCAAACGAAGTAAACATTGGGTGTGTAGAAGCCTAGAGCTGCGGTCTGCTGCTGCTCCGGTCTCTTCATGAAAAAGGGGGTTACTCTTTACCCTCCCCTCCAGCCTAAGTGACAGGGTCAAGAGGAGCCTCCAGTTCTGCACCTCTCTTTTTTCCTTCCTGACTCTCTTAAGTCTCCCTCCCTGCTTTATGCCTCTTGGGCCTTTTCAAAAACGCATGCTGGTAGCCAGAAGGCTCAGAAAGGCACAAAGGCCTTACGGACAGGGCCACAACCCACCTGGGTTCTTGTGACCCTTGCTGTGGAGTGTGGCCAGCTAGATGATCACAAGCTACTGGTAGCTTCCTATCTTCCCGAGAATAGCTGCAGCCTTCACACATGCCAAATCACGCACTTTCAATGCACTTTAGGGATAGTCTGCAGGTGGATTTTGCCATTTCACACAGTAAAATCCAGTTGCAACGTGTTGTTGAAAGTGGATTGAAAGTGCATGATTTGGCATGTGTGAAAGCAGAAGCCTCGAGGCAAAGGTCACAAATGATACCACTCCCAAGAGGCCCAGGAAACCTGAATGATCAACAGCAGACAGCAAAGGGAGAGGGGCGACTGATTCTAGAGCACAGAGCAGATCTCTTCGTCTGCTACCGCTGAAGCATTTTTTGCTTTGCCCAATCCCTGGGAAAACAGTCTCATCAGTCATGTAAGCCAGCAGCTTCACTGTAACCCCATAACTAAGGGGAAACGCAGCCAGTGTGCTTCAGTGTTTATAGAGCCCAAGAAGGACTGAGGGGAGACACATTCAAATCCCCATTTCTGGCCCCAGGATCACCTGGTCAGTTTCATGGCTGTCACACTTGCCTAACCTACCTCAAAGGGCTGTTGCAAGGATAAAGTGAGATAGGAGAGATAAGCTGCCCTGAGCTTCTTGGAGGAAGGGCAGGGTAGAAACCAAATAAATAAAATCCAGTTTTTCATAGTATGTATGTATGTGTGTGTGTGTGTGTATATATATATATATGCAACTACTTATGCAACAAACTACTTACGCAACAAAATAAAACAGTTTTTCAAGGTCTACTGTAAGATGAACATGAAACTAAGAATAACTACACAAGGACAGCAATCTGGTTCCAGAAGCCTATAGGAGGAAGCACGGGTACATTCTAGAGTCCGTGGCCTGCTGTAGAAGCTGACTGGAAGGCTTATACCTGAGAGATGGAACACAGGACAGGGCCACTCAGCCTAAAGCCAGCTACTCACCTGAGTGATGGACGGGGCTCAGCACCACATGCGTGTCGGAGGCAGAGCGTGCCCGGAAATGATGGGGATAATAGGGATTTGGTGAATGGGGACTTTCCTCCATCTCAGTAGCTGCTTGACTCCCAAGTGGAGGTTCTGCCCTTGTCAGCCTCAGCTCTTCAGGAGTTTCTTCAGAAAGGCCATCCTATTAAAAAAAAAAAAAAAGGAACTGGAATTGGGGCTAGATCTACTCCAGGGACCTAGTAGAGCTGAGTAAACATTTAAACTTGCACAGAGAGTGGTAGGGATGCTGGAGAAACTAAGACATCACCAAAATTTCATCCTCCAAATTACCTTAGGGGTGCACAGCTTGGACCCTGTTCCCCAATTTGGGACAAGGAAGAAGAGTTGGATTTATGCCGCACCCTTCACTTAGGAGTCTCAGAGTGACTTACAATTGCCTTCCCTTCTTCTCCTCACAACAGACACCCTGTGAGGTAGGTGGGGCTGAGCGAGCTCTGAGACAACTGCTCTGAGAAAACTGTGGCTCACCCAAGGTCACCCAGCAGCTGCATCTGGAGGAATGGGGAATCAAACCCAGTTCTCCAGATTAGAGTCTGCTGCTCTCAACCGCTACACCAAACTGGCTGTCCTCCTCTGCCCACCTTCTCTCCTTCCATGTCATTATTCAGCACAGCACCCTGTATGATATTCTTATAGAGAGTTAGGTCTGAAGTGCCAGTTAACTGACTAGTTAAATTGTGCCAGCTGCTTACCTTTTATTTAATTATGGCCAAACATTCCAAGAAGCCAAGAATGCCCATGAGGCAGTATCCCACCTTAGACTGGAGAAAGTCCCTGCCTAAAAAGGGAGCCTTCCTACAAGCAGCTTCAAATCATGCTCAGTAGAATGGTAAGATACTGGTCACCGTAGGTGGCAGCTGGTCGTGACAGTGTTGTTAGTGAGAACAGGAGGGAGGGATGCTCGCCCCCTACATCTGCGGCTACAAACCTAGTGAGGTAGCAAAACTTTTCTACTGGCCACCTACTAAAAGTTCGGGCAGCTCTAAAACAGGAAAAATTGACCAGGAACATGCAGCTACCTCCCCCCCAAAAAAAGTTTTTTAATGGGTTGCTGTTACTTTGCTTTATTTCTAGTTGCCTGCTTCAATTGCACGCCAACTCTTGGTGTGCCAGGATCAAAGCCTAACTGTTCAGAACATTTCTAGAAATCTTACCACACATTTATTATCACTTTTAACAGTTTCATGGCTATTTTTAGAGAGTTTGTTTTTATTGTTTCACAAGAATTTGTTACTTTTGTGATTGGCATAAATCTCATGCCTCTTGACAGTTAAAGCATCTTTATCATTTTAACAAAGCTCATGCTTTAAAAAATATTTAGCCATTCTTTGACTGGACACGTGATCAAATGCTGTACTCTGAATCAAAGCTCAATTTCAATAGGATTTTGCTTCCCAGTCTCATCTCCATCTGCTCCCTTACATTCTCAGATTCCTGAGCTCGCAGTCGGCACTCCATGATCTGATGCTGATACTGGAGCCGCTGGTTGGCCCTCTGCAATTGGGCGATTTTCTCCATCATCTGGCAGATGTGCTCCAAGTACCTCAAGCCCTGTCCAGGCATGGTAAGTGAAGGCTCATCCTGTACCTAGGGAAAAGCAAGCATTGCATGGCATCAGAGACACGTTCACATACACTTGCAGCATCAGAGTGCACAAACAGAAGCAGCATGCAGAGAGTATCCCTGCAGTTATCTGGTGATTGACTTCCAGATTGTCAGCATGTCTACATCCACAGAGAGAAGATATCTACAGGAAGACAGCACTAAGCAGAATTCAGATCCAGCCATAGGGCAGTGATTGCTGAAGTGTGCAGAGGCCTCCTTCCTTGGGACAAGAGACAGGGACTACTCAAAAATACTTAAGATGCAATAGTTCGTCCGCAGCCCAGAGATTCCCCACTTTGCTCCTGGATCAGGGAATGAGGCAGTCCTGCCTAGCTTCTCCTTCCCTCTTTCTTTATCTGACATGTGGCACATCTCCGTGCTACAGCAAGCTGGGGAGGAAGGAAATGGTTGGGAAAATGAGCTGCAGTGACAGAGCTTCCCAATTAAGTAGTGAAAATAGTGTTGGGAGGTGGGAGAAAGAATTCTCTGGGCTACAATCTGACAAATCTACCTGCCCCCAGCAGGTAAAAGCTGCAGTGTGGAGCCATGCCAAAGACCACCAATATCTCTTGACTGGATTTTAACTCCACCTCTTTCTGCTATTGTGGCAACCCATAGCCATAAAAAAAGCTTGGTCTAAAAAGAAGTGAAAACTATACACAAAAATTGTTCTGGACTGTACCACGTAAGACTGTTGGTAGGGAAACTGCGGGAATGAAGTGTCCCCCTGAGGCAGAAATCCCTACACACAGGAAAAAAGCGATCAAGGACATGGGTTGTAGACTAGTTTTCTTCTTGACATTCTACTTGGAGACGGGGATTCTTTTAAAATGTGGAGGAGCATTCAGTTGTGCAACCCTACACCTAAGTGGTACAGGCCAGGAATGATTTTACCATATGATGAGCTGGGTGTCCAAGCCAAATGCACAACAGAAAGAAACCCTCTGTCAGCCATACAGACTGGGTGTGTGCAGCTCAGACACAATCCAATGCGTCTTTGACTCCACGTATCTCTACTTAACATCCTGAGAACTTCAGCTGGGGCGACTTAGCTTAGCACATGTAAGCAGGTGTGTCTAATACAACACATGTTGCAGATCACCAAAAACCTCTACTTTCTGTTAAAAAGACTAAAACATGTTTCTGGCCTCTTGATTACAATACTTTAAAAATAACTAGCTAGAAAGAAATCCCAAGTAGATAAATAGGTACCGCTTCAGTGGGAAGGTAACAGCGGTCTGTGCATCTTGGCGTTTAGTCATGACCACGGAAGCGTCTTCAGACAACGCTGGCTCTTTGGCTTGGAAACGGAGATGAGCACCACCCCCTACAGTCAGATTCAACTAACTTTCAAGCAAGGGAAACCTTTACCTTTACTTTTTACTTACAGAACAGAAAGCTTCAAAGTAAGTTTCCTTCACCTCCCCAGGCGCTTCCACTACTAATTACTTAATATCTTGCCTACCTTGCATGTGTCCCTGCCCTGATATTACTAGTACTCCAAGAGCTCATCTATTGAGACTCCTTGCATAGTGACAATACCGTTACTATGGACTGATTCCAACACATTTGTTTCGGAACCAGAATATCAATAGCCTGGGCTAAGAGTAGAGCACATTATCTCCTGAACTCCTTCTATATTCATAACACTGTTCCAGCATGTTGTGCTCATTCCTTGATGGCCCATGTATAAAATATGCATGGACTGTCCAGCCATTTCGTAGCCCAGGGCTTTGCAACACCAAGGCCACTTCACACTTCTACAGCCAGGAACAACCCCATTTTTGCACCAAAAGGTGCATCCCTTGCTCCTCTTCAGAAGCCTTACAGCACAGCCAACTCATCCAGAAGTACACGCATGGCCAGGACAGAAGTTACATGATGTTGATTGTATGCAGGTTTTCCAAGGCTTGGTACTATAAAAGGTCCCCATAACTAAGCAAGGGGAGTAAGAGAACTGGAAAAGTCTGAGCAGTAGCAACAGGAAGACACTCTACTGAGTAAGCAATGACTCAGGAGCAAAAGGGCCAATACAGGTGCTACACCAGTGATTGAAATTGGCATTTGCAATTGTGCTAATATTGCTGGCTGCAAAAACAGATTCTGCAACAGAGGTGGGTAAAGCTGTGATGATGTAGAAGGCATATCAAGAGAGGAATGGATACTGTAGCTATGGTACATGGAATGCATGGAGTAGGGGGTAGGTCATATGGCATGTCCTGGTAGTATTTGTGATGACGTGATCTGGACCTCAAGCTCACTGAAACGAAGATTCCCAACTTTCATCACCTCTGTATTGACATAGATCTCTATAATTATGCTGGATCCAGAGAAGAGAGAGCATCACAGTATATATATGTGCAATCAGTGACTGTGGGAATTGAAAGAACAGTTCTGGTTTCTACCAGTGGTCCCTCTAAGCTGAGTTAGTGTGAGCTAGATCAGTTTTTTCGCCTCCGGCTCACACATTTTTGTCTTAGCTCAGGAAGGATGGCTCCAGAGCAAACGAATTTATGCAGTAGCCAAATCGCTCGCTCACAACGTTAACACCAGTAGCTCACAAAGTAGAATTTTTGCTCACAAGACTCCACAGCTTAGAGGGAGCATTGGTTTCTACTATCAATACTGAAGAACTCTATAAACGTGGAGACCATCCACTCAGTTGGATGAATCATACTGGTGATTTATTCAACATTTAGGGGGACCGAAACATCCAAGGACCCTTCATCACAGGATGCTGTGCTACTTAGAGATGGGGTTCTCTAAGAGTACCACAAAACTGAGAGCCAGTTTGGTGTAGTGGTTAGGAGCGCAGACTCTAATCCTGGAGAATCAGGTTTGATACCCCACTCCTCCACATGCAGCTGCTGGTGTGCCCTTGGGTCAGTTACGAATTCTTTCAGAGCTGTTCTCTCAAGGGCAGTTCTCAAAAGAGCTCTCTCAGCCCCACCTACCTCACAGGGTGTCTGTTGGGGGGAGGGGAAGAAAAAGGAGATTGTAAGCCGCTCTGGGGAGCTGCAGTGGCTCAAGTGGTTAAGACGCTGAACTGCAGGCTGTGGAAGGTCAGTAGTTCAGCAGTTCCGAGACCCTAGTGCCGCATGACGGAGTGAGCTCCCGTCTCTAGTTCCAGCTCCTGCCAACCTAGCAGTTCGAAAGCAAAAAATTGCAAGTAGATAAATAGGTACCACTTCAGTGGGAAGGTAACAGCGTTCCGTGCGCCTTGGTGTTTAGTCATGCCGGCCACATGACCATGGAAACGTCTCCGGACAGCGCTAGCTCTTTGGCTTTGAAACGGAGATGAGCACCGCAACCCTGGATTCGACTGGCTTTCGAGCAAGGGAACCTTTACCTTTAAGCCGCTCTGAGACTCCTTTGGGTAGTGAAGGGCAGGGTATGGATCCAATCTCTTGCTTTCTTCTTTTCTGGAAAAGCTTCACGGGCTCATTCAGATTGCACCAGTAAAATGCCTGAAGTCTGGTCCAAAGCAGCTGGGGGCATCAGTTCTCAGCTAAGTGACAGAGTTGGAATGGTTGGGGCAGATACCTCCACAACATCAGGTGATGTTCCAGACTGAGTATGCTCCTTTTTTATGACTCCGCTCTTGTTGTCATTGATTCACACGTACCTTTGGCACTTGGTCGGTTTTGCATGTGGTTAGGATGGAGGCTGTTTATCCGCTGACTGCTTTTCAGCCCCAAGGCTGACTGGGAGATGTAGAAGCTATTTGCTCAGCCCGGCTTTGGCATCAGAGGACAATGGAGGTATTTTATCAGCACAATGCAGCTGAGCTGATGGGGGAATGGATGAGACATTTTTATGGGGTGAAGTGGCAGGACCCTGAGACTGGAGCTGTGGTTCCTCTAAGACTGTCCCACAACTGGCACAATTGGAGGAGCCACAATTATGGTTTTCTCCTAAACAA